TCAAGCGATTCTCCTACCTCAGCCTCCCGAGTAGCTGGAATTACAGGCATGCGCCACCATGCCCAGCTAATTTTATATATTTTAGTAGAGACGGGGTTTCTCCATGTTGGTCAGGCTGGTCTCCAACACTTGACCTCAGGTAATCCGCCCGCCTCGGCCTCCCAAAGTGCTGGGATTACAGGCCTAAGAGACCTTGCCCAGCCTTTGAGAAAGGGATTCTTAACATGAATTGATGTGAGCACACCCAAACCTACCTAAGGAATATGGTTTTGTTTCCAATGCCCAGGGCAATCTATGCAGAAGAATGAATGGGTGAAGCTGGCATCTTGAAAAGTTGAAGCTGATAGACTGACGAATGCTGATTACATAGCCCTGAGGCTGCAGAGAAGTAAGTATTCCTTAGTTTTTACAGGCCAAGAATAGTTTATTAATTAGGTTAGAGAGATGAGAAGGGCACAACAGAAATGCTCTAGGTCAGAAGTTCCATTTTTTATTTCGAATCCTAGAAAAGTTATTCTCTTCCCCTCCCCATTGACCCAAAAACCTGATAATGAAACCATATCATTCACTGCTGTGGCTGCCAAGAACCCTGAATCAAATTTGATATTCTTTATATTCTCCCTTTCTACATATTTTACTATTGTACACTGTATGTTATAAGCAACTTCAAATCCCTTGTGGAAAGAAGGTATAAATATATTACAATCTGGCTGGGTGCGGTGGCTCACACCTGTAATCCCAGCACTTTGGGAGGCCGAGGCGGGCGGATCACAAGGTCAGGAGATCGAGACCATCCTGGCTAACACGGTGAAACGCCATCTCAGCTACTCGGGAGGCTGAGGCAGGAGAATGGCGTGAACCAGGGAGGCAGAGCTTGTAGTGAGCCGAGATCGTGCCACTGCACTCCAGCCTGGGCGACAGAGTGAGACTCCGTCTCAAAAAAAAAAAATATATATATATATATATATGTATATATATATTACAATCGATAAACAGATATTGTAGACTACACTGGTACAAAGGGAAAGAGAAATGTTTGGGTCTGGCTAAACTTTTTTTTTTTTTTAGACAGAGTCTTGTTCTGTCACCCAGGCTGGAGTGCAGTGGCATGATATCGGCTCACTGCAGCCTCTGCCTCCTGGGTTCAAGTCATTCTCCTGCCACAGCCTCCCAAGTAGCTTGAACTACAGGTGTGCACCACCATGCCCAGCTAATTTTTTTTCTGTGTGTATTTTTAGTAGAGACGGGATTTCACCATGTTGGCCATGGCTTGTCTCCTGACCTCAAGTGATCTGCCTGCCTCAAACTCCCAAAGTGCTGAGAATACAGGAATGAGCCACCACCATGTCAGCATCTGGCTAGACTTAAGTCTAAGATCACATTAAGGGACTCAAGTGAGTAAAGAGAAGTGCCACCTGCTGGCAAAATCTTAAATGACCTACTAGTTAAAGTTTGCTTAGGCTCTCATCTGAGCCTTCCTAACTTCATAACTGGATGAAAAATGAATGAACTACACCATCCCTAGCAACATTTATTGACAAAAGATGCCGCATGGTTATTTCCTCCAAAATAAAGACTACTCATTATCTAAACCACTCTAAATAGAGTTTGTTGCTTCAAACCAACAGAAAGGCAAAAGCCCTTCACCTCTGCTGAATAGCCACACCTCACAAAAGCAGTTGAAAGGCGAATGACTACAACATCAGAGGTGGAAAGTGAGGCCATGTAAGGGAAAGGCCTTACCTTAGTCTGCTATTTTGTGTCTCTCAGGCTTCCTAGTTCATATCCACTTCCCAAGACTAAAACAGAATGACTGGACCAGGACCAAAAAAGACAGCATACTTGATCTATCTGCCTTAAGAAGCCCATCTTGAATAAGCTTTTGGTGACAAGTGCACTAAGCTTAGCAAATGTTAAAATGAAGCACAGGCTGGCTGTGGTGGCTCATGCCTCTAATCCCAGCACTTTGGGAGGCCGAGGCGGGTGAATCAGTTGAGGTCAAGAGTATGAGACCAACCTGGCCAACATGGTGAAACCCTATCTCTACTAAAATTACAAAAAATTAGTTGGGTGTGGTGACACACACCTGTAATCCTGGCTACTCAGGAGGCTGAGGCAGGAGAATTGCTTGAACCCAGGAGGTGGAGGTTGCAGTGAGCTGAGATTGCCCTACTGCACTCTGGCCTGGGCGACAGAGCAAGACTCTGTATCAAAAACTGAAATAAATAAATAAATAAATAAAATGAAGCACAGAAAGAAGGGAATTTGACTGGGAGATTGGTGGTTAAGCTGACTTCAGTTAAACTTTTAACTTTGTGGCACACAGAGAAGGCAATACAATGGTTTCCAGGCACCGTATGGCAGGGTTGCCAAGGTAACAGCAAAATTTCTATTGCAGGAAAAGGATTTAAATATATAGGAAAGATCACTAGATTTGGAATCAGGAGAACTAGATTAGGGCACTAACTCTGTTATCTATCAGACTTTTGGAAAGTCAGTCACAACCTTTCCAAGCCTCAGTTTCCTCATCTGTAAAATGTGAGGATCAATGTGATGAATTATGAACTCTATGAGCACTATAGACATATGAAACATTTACATTCCCTTATCTTTTGGTAAGCTTTACATCAATCCACGGCCCATAGCCCACATGCAGCCCAGGAAGGCTTTAAATGTGGCCCAACACAAATTCAAAAATGTCTTAAAACATTATGAGTTTTTTTGCGATTTTTTTTTTTTTTAGCTCATCAGCTACCATTAGTGTTAGTATATTTATATGTGGCCCAAGACAATTCTTCTTCCAGTGTGGCCCAGGGAAGCCACAAGCCTGGATACCCCTGTTTTACATGGTTAACCCAAATGCACCAAAGATAGGTACTCACTCCTTATCTTGTAAGTTCATCCAAACTCAAGAAACATTTGGCAAAGGAACTCCTGCAATCAAGCACTTAATAGATGTTTCTTGATAAAATTATCAAAAGGAATGGGACATTACTTACCTGGACTAATCCTCAAAGGCAATCTCCTTGAATTTCATCAGAACAGTGGTCTTAGGTCCAGGGATGGTCAATTCAAATAATTCGAAAGGACAGTAGTTATGAGCATAGAACTGTAGAGCCAGATGACCTGGGTTCAAATTCCAGTTCTCCTATTCAGTAGCTGAATGACCTATGCCTCATTTTCCCCATCTATGAAATGAGGATAATAGTACCAACCCCCAAAGGGTTATTACGAGGATTTAAAAAGTTTCAAAAGTACCTAGAACAGGAACTTGGACTGGAGTAAATACTATATAAGCGTTTAAAGAATAAGTTTACTGGGCATGGTGGCTCACACCTGTAATTCCACCACTTTGGGAGGCCCAGGTGGGTGGATCACATGAGGTCAGGAGTTCGAGACCAGCCTGGACAGCATGGTGAAACCTTGTCTCTGTGAAAAAATACAAAAATTAGCTGGTGTGGTGGCGGGCGCCTATAGTCCCAGCTACTTGGGAGGCTGAGGCAGGAGAATCACTTGAACCCAGGAGGCAGAGGTTGCAGTGAGCCAAGATGGCACCACTGCACTCCAGCCTGGGCAACAGAATGACTCTGTCTTAAAAAATAAATAAATAAATAAATAAATAATAAGTTCAACAAGTATGTGATTTCCTGTCACATATATGGTCATTCTGTTCCTTATCTACAAGGTAATATTAAATTCTTCTTATTGAATTTAATATTGACCTATTTTCTGAGATTGACCCAAGTCTAACTTTCTGAGATTGACCCAAGGCAAATTTTACCTTTTTTGGGTCACATTTTTAGTGGAGAAGTGACCAGTAGGTTAGGCCATGAGAACCATGTAAGGATTCCACACTAGAAGTACCCTTCAGTGGTTCTAGGGACCCCAAGTGTTCCCATTCCCCCAGCTTGAAACTAAAGACAGTACACACAGTAAGATATTTAGAATATGTGGCATATAAATAGAACCTGACCTTTTTTTTTTTTTTTTTTTTTCTCTCTTGAGAAGGAGTTTCGCTCTGTCACCCAGGCTGAAGTGCAGTGGCACAATCTCGGCTCACTGCAACCTCCACCTCCCAGGTTCAAGCAATTCTCCTGCCTCAGCCTCCTCAGTAGCTGGGATTACAGGCACCCACCACCACAGCCGGCGAACTTTTGTATTTTTAGTAGAGATGGGGTTTCACAATGTTGGCCATGCAGGTCTTGAACTCCTGACCTCGTGATCCACCCACCTCGGCCTCCCAAAGTGCTGGGATTACAGGCATGAGCCACCACGCCTGGCCTAGAACCTAACTTTTTAAAGGTGTCTCATTTAGGAATCTCTTAGTGCTTCAACTTAGTTTTTTTTTTTTTTTTCGAGACAGAATTTCACTCTTGTTGCCCAGGCTGGAGTGCAATGGCACGATCTTGGCTCACTGCAACCTCTGGCTCCCCAGTTCAAGCGATTCTCCTGCCTCAGCCGCACAAGTAGCTGGGATTACAAGCATGCACCACCACACCTGGCTAGTTTTTGTATTTTTAGTAGAGATGGGGCTTCTCCATGTTGGCCAGTCTGTTCTCGAACTCCCTACCTCAGGTGATCCACCTGCTTTCGCTTCCCAAAGTGCTGGGATTACAGGCGTGAGCCACCGCACCCAGCCCTGTACTTATTATTAGTGGATACTGATCATTTAAATATCTACTATTAGAATCAGATGACATACAAAGGAAAGACGTCATTGTTATAAAAACCAGACAAATGATCTGGATTCATGTTTTCTTTCACTGAATAATACTCCAATGCTCTATTCTGCCTCTCAGGCTTCCTGCTGCACATGTACTTCCTGTAAGAGGAATTAATGGTTGGAGTAGGACCAATAAAGGCAGCATTCCTGACCTGTTTTCCAACTTCTTTCTCTGCCAAGAAGCCCATTATACATAAGCTTTTGGTGACAATGGCCTTCAGTTTAAAGAACATTGAGATGAAACACACAAAGAGAATTTGACACAGAACTCAGTGGCTATCAGCTCATAATTATGTTCTTTTTGGTTCAACTCAATACATTTCACAGATATTTACTGAGAAATATTTATTACCCATAAACAGAATCAAGATAATGCTTTCAATCTTTAAAAATTGTCTAGTTTTGGCCGGGAGTGGTGGCTCATGCCTGTAATCTTAATACCTTGGGAGGCCAAGGCAGGTGGACCACGAGATCAAGAGATCGAGACCATCCTGGCCAACATGGTGAAACTCCGTCTGTACTAAAAATACAAAAATTAGCTGGGCGTGGTGGCGTGCAACTGTAGTCCCTGCTACTCAGGAGGCCCAGGCAGGAGATCTGCTTGAACCGGAAGGCGGAGGTTGCAGTGAGCCAAGATCGCACCACTACCACTGTACTCCGGCCTGGTGACAGAGCAAAACTCTACCTCAAAATAATAATAATAATAATAATTGTCTAGTTTTTTCTCAGGCAGCCAAGAAGATGGTGGACATTGAGACTGAGCATGCCTATCACAAGCAGCTGACCATTGTTCAAAGCAAGAAGAGGATCCTGCTAAAGGAAACTGGCAAGCTAGGCTTCAGGAGGTCCAAAGAGACTATTGAGGGCATCTACACTGACAAGGAATGCCTGTTCACTGGTAACATCTCCACTGAGGGCAGATCCTGTCTGGCATTGTGACCAAGATGAAGATGCAGAGGACCACTGTCATCCACAGAGACTCTCTCTACTACATCCGCAAGTACAATTGCTTCGAGAAGTACCACAAGAACATGTCCAGGCACCTGTTCCCCTGCTTCGGGATGTCCAGATCAGCGACATTGTCATGCTGGATAAGTGCTGGTCCCTGAGCAAGACAGTGAACTTCAACGTGCTCAAAGTCACCAAGGCCGCAGACATCAAGAAGCAATTCCGTAAGTTCTGAGGCTGAATGTCTGCCCGCTCCCTGAAATGAAATAAAGTTATTTTCTCATTCATACACACAAAATATGACTAATAGGTAAGATAACCACACAAACTTAATACACAACAAAAACATATTAAAACATATTAATGCAATTAGAGATTTCAAAAAAAAAAAAAAAACAAGCAAGCTGTGTCAAAGATATGATCAAGCACAATCCTGGCTGAGGAAATCTGGAAAGACCTCATGAGGGAGGTAACATTCGATAAATGGTCAAAGAGTGAATGAAACAATTTCTTTTTTTCCTTTTATTATAGGCAGTTTTTAAATTTTTTGGCCAGTTGTAGTGGCTAACACCTGTGATCCCAACACTTTGGGAGGCCGAGGCAGGTGGATAGCTTGAGCTCACGAGTTCAAGACCAGCCTGGGCAACACAGTGAGACCCCATCTTTACTAAAAATACAAAAAAGTTAGCTGGGCATGGTGGTGCCCACCTGTAGTCCCAGCTATTCCAGAGGCTGAGGAGGGAGGATTGCTTGAACCCAGGAGGCAGACGTTGCAATGAGCAGAGATTGAACCACTGCACTCCACCCTGGGTGACAAAGCAAGACCCTGTCTGATTATCAAAGTAGTATATGATTACTGTACAGAATTTTTTCCTTTTTTTTTTTGGAGACAGAGTCTCCCTCTATCACTCAGACTGGAGTGCAGTGGCGTGATCTCGGCTCTCTGCAACCTCTGCCTCTTGGGTTCCAGCAATTCTCTGTCTCAGCCTCCCGAGTTAGCTAGGATTACAGGCACCTGCCACCACGTGCAGCTAATTTTTGTATTTTTAGTAGTGATGGGGTTTCACCATCTTGGCCAGGCTGGTCTTGAACTCCTGATCTCGTGATCCACCTGCCTCAACCTCCCAAAGTGCTGGGATTATAGGCATGAGCCACCACGCCCAGCTGAGAATTTTTTTAAATCCAAAAACTTATAGAAAAGAAATGTCTGGAAGCCCACGATCAAGGTGCTGGCAGATCCAGTGTCTTGTGAGGGCCTAATTTCTGGTTTGAAGATGGCTGGCTGTCTTCTCCTTGTATCCTCACATGGTGGAGAGCGAGCTCTCTAGCTCCTCTTACAAGGGGACTAATCCTATTCATGAGGGCTCCACTCTCATGACCTGATTACTTCTCAAAGGCCTCCCCTTCAGATACCATACAGGGAGTTAGGGTTTCAACATATAAATTTTGGGGAGACACAAACATTTAATCCATTGCAGGCATGTTAGAGTTGAGGTGCTGGTGAGACATGCAGGTATCTGCGAATGCAAGTTGGCAGTACAGAATATTAGGACCAGAAGTACAGAACTGGAGATCATCTTCATGGAATTGAGTGTTGAAACTACAGAAATAGATAATTACTAAGGGAGCAAGTGCAGGCAAAAGAAAACCGGATGGCTAAGAACAAAGGCCTGGGAAAGAAAACATGCTAAGGGAGCAAAAGGATATGGTGAGGAAGACAAAGAGGAATGGTCAAAAAAGTAAAAGGAGTTTAAGAATAATATAGAGTCAGAAGTCAAAAGAGAAGAGAATTCTGAAGAGGAAGGAAATAGTCAACAGAGAAGTTGAAAGAAAAGAATAAATGAATAAAAATAGTCCCACAACTGGAAAATTTGTAGGAGTTTTAGTTGAGTGACTTGGGAGTGAAAAACCAGATTACAAAAAGGGAAGGAAAGGAAGAGTACGTACAGGAAACAAATGTGGTGTACTGGAGGCAAGAAATCTTGAATCAAGAGTCCAAGGTTCTAGTCTACCATTTACCAGTTATGTAACTTGGGATACATTCCTTAAAATAGATCTACCTTAGTTTCCTCATCTGTAAATTTAAAATGGCGATGATGATACCTGCTCCATCCCTACAATGTGAGATGAACAAATTAGAAGATACATGGAGGCACGGTGAAAACCATACTGGAACAACACATACAAATATTATCTATCATCATTCTTTCAAGTACTTCAGCAATTGAAAGAAAAGGGAGACATGGGACAGGTACAAATAAAGGTTTTGTCATTGGAAGAAAGGGCCTTCTGAGCATATTTATAGGAAGAACAGACTTAGTACTATAGTTCTACACTGTCATCAATCCTAATGGACCTTCATCTGAGAGACAGGTTAGTGGCACACACTCTAGAGTCAGACTATGTATGTTTCAATCCCAGGTCTTTTTTTTAAATTTTTTTCTTTGTATTTCAATGACTACAAATGAATCCCATTCAGCTACTTAACTTCTATGCAATCCAGTTTCCTTGTCTATAAAATGGGGATAATAATAGTATGCCTCCATAGAGTTGTTGTGAGGATTGATGTATAAACACTTAAAACTGTGTTTTACGACTAGGTGCGGTGGCTCATGCCTGTAATCCCAGCACTTTAGGAGGCCAAGGCTGGCGGATCACTTGAGGTCAGGAGTTCAAGATCAGCCTGACCAACATAGAGAAACCCCGTCTTTACTAAAAATACAAAATTGGCCAGGCGTGGTGGCACATCCCTGTAGTCTCAGCTACTCGGGAGGTTGAGGCAGGAGAATTGCTGGAACCTGGGAGGCAGAGGTTGCAATGAGCCGAGATCGTGCCATTGCACTCCAGCCTGGGCAACAAGAGCAAAACTCTGAAACAAACAAACAAACAAACAAAAACTGGGTTTGGTACACATGCTCAAAAATGTTGGCAATTAATACATAAAAGTATTGTCATATGCAAGCATACATGCTTTATGTTAAAATTGAAACTACCATTCCAAAATTATAACCAAGACAGTGAAAGAGATCTGATCTAACCAACTCCATTTTGCTTCTAAACTCCAAGCTGTCCTTGTTCATTCCTGGGCATAGGCTGAACTAACTTTGGGAGGAACTTAGAGTTTAAAACAAAGACAATAACAGCCTCTTCCCAAAACACCCTTCTTACCTGAGGACTAGACTACCTTTGTAGGACTAACAAATTGGCCATAAGATTAGAAATTATTGTTTAGGAGTCATGGGGCTGGAGGCTACAAGATTCTGATCCTCCCCAAATTGTTCCTGGGGATAACATCACTATTGTAAAACCTAGGATCAGTGCTTGAGATATTTTGCAGACCCTGTACTTGATAGATCAGCTGGCACCACCCAGATCAATAAACTGGGTCATCTGATCTTGTGGCTGCCACCCAGGAACTGACTCTGTGCAGGAGGACAGCTTCAACTCAAAGTTCAAATAATATGATTTCATCTCTAACCAATCAGCACTCTTGATTTACTGATCTTCCCTCACCCATCAAATCATCCTTCAATACTCTGATCCCTGGATGCTCAGGGAGACTGATTTGAATAATAATAAAACTCAGTCTCCCATACGGAGAGCTCTATGTGAATTACTGTTTCTCTATTGAGATTCCCCTGTCTTGATAAATTGGCTCTGTCTAGGCAGCAGGAAACCTGTTGGGCAGTTACAAAAGGAGCCTTTTGGGCAATTACAAAATGATAGTGTTATTTGTCAACACGTTGATAAGTAGCATTTTCATCTGAGATGAGAAACTGCCCATCCCTTCATGGATGGAGGAGGCAGAATATGGAATGGTCAAATGTAATACCTCTCTCAGGTCCTCTTCGGTTGGATTCCACCAAGTGCTTCTTCATTTGTTCTTTTTGTTGTTGTTGTTGTTGTTGTTGAGATAAAGTCTCACTCTGTTGCCTAAGCTGGAGTACAGTGGTGTGATCTCAGCCCACTGCAACCTCCACCTCCTGGTTCAAGCAATTCTCCTGCCTCAGCCTCCCGAATAGCTGGGACTACAGGCATGTGCCACCATGCCCAGCTAATTTTTGTATTTTTAGTAGAGGCAAGGTTTCACTATGTTGGCCAAGCTGGTCTTGAACTCCTGACCTCCTGAACTGCCCATCTCAGCCTCCCAAAGTGCTGGGATTACAGGTGTGCATCACAGCACCCAGCTTTTTTTTTTTTTTTTTTGAGACAGAGTCTCACTCTGTTGCCCAAGTTGGAGTGCAGTGGCGCAATCTCAGCTCACTGCAACCTCCCAGGTTCAAGCAATTATCCTGCCTCAGCTTCCCAAGTAACTGGGACTACAGGCATGCGCCACCATGCCCGGCTAATTTTTTTTGTATTTTTAGTAGAGACATGGTTTTACTATGTTGGCCAGGCTGGTCTCAATCTCTTGACCTTGTGATTCACCTGCCTCAGCCTCCCAAAGTGCCGGGATTACAGGCATGAGCCACCGCGCCCAGCCTCTTTATTTGTTCTGAAATAATATGTGTTTACAAAATTGAAAGAGATTTCTACAGTTCTAGGTATTTCAACTACCATATGTGGAAGAGCTAATGTTAGTAGATAAACGGTAGATAAACTGAAGATAGGCTTTGTATGACATTCAACATAAGAAGTAACCACAAAATGAATTACAAACAAAACAGCAAGTAAAGACAGCTATAATACAATAGATTGAATTGCCATATTCTTTAGGATGAGGCCTGGAATATGCTGAACATACAGACTGCAGAGGCACTCAGCCCAAGATTAGTATTGAGCCTTCATACTCGATAGTTGACCATCACAGCTAATATAAGAATTCATGCAATGATTCAGTTATTGAGTTGTAACTAGCAGGCTGGCACTGTGCTAGACTCGGAAGATACACTGAAATAGGTAGGGCAGAAATCCTAGCCTGAGAATTTTTTTCTTAGAAAGGAACATTTAATAGCAACTTGTGAATAGAAGCCATGTCTGTGTCTCTAGCAACAGTGAAACAAGATGGTGGATCCCCTCGCCATTAACCCCCATATGGAAAGGGTATATGTAATTCAGAAGGGATGTGTATTAGTCTGTTCTCACACTGCTATAAAGGACTGCCTGGGACTGGGTAATTTATAAATGAAAGAGATTTAATTGACTCACAGTACCTCAGGGCTGAGGATGCCTCAGGAAACTTACAATCATAGCAGAAGGGGAAGCAAACATGTCCTTCTTCACATGGTGGCAGGAGAGAGAAGAATGAGTGCCCAGCAAAGGGGGAAGTCCCCTATAAAACCATCAGATCTCATGAAAATTCACTATCACGAGAACAGGATGGGGGAAACCACCCCCATGATTCAATTATCTCCACCTGATCCCTCCCACAACCTGAGGGGATTATGGGAATTACAATTCAAGATGAGATTTGGGTGGAGACACAGCCAAACCACATCAGGATGTGTAGACAACAGAAGCACAATAACATCAAGGTTTTGACCTAAAGGCAGGATTTACAGTATGTGCTCTCACACAACTTGAAATCTTAAGAGGACTTCCGGGAACAGGGGTTAATCAGAAGCCAACATGGCAGATTAGTACCAAAGATGGAGTTACTTTAGCTTCCAGATTCCACCCATCAATCCAGCTCTTACAGTCGCACTCGCCCTCCTATTTGGAGATGGTCCCTGAGCTTTTAGGGAGGGTGGTTTCATATGATATAGCTTTAGCAGCAGCAACCTAGCAGTGGAAAACAGATTGGACCCAGAGAGATTCCAAATGAAGGAGATTCACAGGCTTTGTTGAATTATCTCTCGTCTTGAGAACACCATGACTTTGGTTTTCTCAGAAGTAGAACAAGAGATACCTAGCATTAATAATTTGAATAGTAGAAACATAGTGCATGCAAGGATTACAATCAAAAGAAAATTTGTATGACAGAACAACAACAAAGAACCTATTTCATTAGGAAGCCAACTGAAAGCCGTGTGAAGAAAATTAAGGCCTGACACAGGGACTCACACCCGTAATTCCAACACTTTGGGAGGCTGAGGTGGGAGGTTCATTTGAGCCTCGGAGTTAGAGATCAGCCTGGGCAACACAGCAAGTCCCCATCGCTACAAAAACAAAACTAGCCAGGTATGGTGGTGTGCACCTGTAGTCCCAGCTCCTTGGGCAGCTGAGGCAGGAGGATTGCTTGAGACTGGGAGGTCAAGGCTGCAGTGAGCTATGACCACTGTACTCCAGACTGGGTAACAGAGCGAGACCCTTTCTTAAAAAAAAAAAAAAATCAAAACCCAATTCTCCTTTAGCTACATCTTGTAGCCACTAGCCTGACATTTTAAACACATAAATTAGAAACATGATGCAAGAGTGATTCAAGGTATTTTTTTTTTTTTTTTTTGAGACGGAGTCTTGCTCTGTCGCCCAGGCTGGAGTGCAGTGGCCGGATCTCAGCTCACTGCAAGCTCCGCCTCCCGGGTTTACGCCATTCTCCTGCCTCAGCCTCCCGAGTAGCTGGGACTACAGGCGCCCGCCACCTCGCCCGGCTAGTTTTTTGTATTTTTTAGTAGAGACAGGGTTTCACAAGGTATTTTATACAGGAAATGCCTGGTGTAGTGTCTTGTCCAGCTATATAAATGTAGCCGTGAAACTGTTACATTAGTTTTATTCTATGCTCTTACCATCCCTCCCTCTCCAAATTTTGTTTGTAGTCTGGGGCAGCAACCTAGTCTGTATTTCGTACATACTGAATAATCAACAATGAAATGTAAATATTGAGCACATTGTGTGTCAAACACATGTATTAACTCAAACCTCACAGAAACCCTTTGAGGTCGGTACTATTACAATCCCCATTTTACATACTAGTAAACTGAAGCATGGATAGACTAAAGTAAAGTGCCTGCGGTCAACTAGTAAGGAGGCGGCCTGGCAGTCAAGTCAAGGCAGCCTAAGCCTACGCTGCCTCTATATTGCATTAATACATTAATAAATCTGTGACCAAATAAATGAAGTGACATTTAGTGGCATCGAAAGAACCCGTGAGTAGGGCTTCCTAAGAATGCTCTCCTTCTTTTGATGGACAAAATTTTAGTCTGTTTAAGATAAATTTTGGGCCGGACACGGTGGCTCACCCCTGTAATCCCAGTACTTTGGGAGGCCAAGGCAGGCGATCACTTGATGTCAGGAGTTCGAGACCAGCGTGACCAACATGGTGAAACCCCGTCTTTAAGAAAAATACAAAAATTAGCCGGGCCTGGTGGAGCGCACCTGTCATCCCAGCTACTCAGGAGGCTGATGCAGGAGAACTGTTTGAACCCCGGAGGCGGAGGATGCAGTGAGCCAAGATCTCGCCATTGCACCCCAACCTGGGCGACAGAGCGAGAATCCATCTCAAAGAATAACTAAATAAATAAATACATAAATTTTGAAAAACTGTCAGCACTCACCAGCAGATCTTTACACTGCTGGACTCGGGACACTTGGGGCCGTAGGCAAGCAATTAAACTGACTCACACGTGGTTAGAACCACGTCATCTTGATTCGTGAATCCGTACTCTTAACTACTAGAAGCCTTTGTGGAACGCACGGGGCGAACCTGACGCTTGAGCTCTGACACCAGACAGACACACCCGGGGATTCAAGAGCTGGGTAGGGACTCCCGTGCCGGACGCCTCATCCCGGCATGCACCTCAAGCCCCGGCGACCACGCCTTCCGGCGAGCGCCAGGGAGCGCGTGTGCACCTCGCCGCCCGGAAGCGCCGCCCGCTCGCTGCATGCTGGGAGTTGTAGGCCTCCAGCCCCAGCCCGCGGGCTGCCGCCCGCACTCTCCATGAGACTGCTGGCGCCGGCGCCCGCCCGCGCGGCACCGACGCGGGGAGCGCGCTTCGCGCTGACTCAGCGGCGGCGGCGGCGGCGGCGGCGGCGTTAGCCGGCCCTCGCGCTCTTTCCCTTCCTGGGGCGCTGACCCCGCCCGCTTGCTTGCTTGCTTGCCTGCCTGCCTGCCTGCCTGCCCGGCGCCACGCAAGAGAAGGTGCCAGGGGACGCGGAGCGACTAGAGGCGCGCGGTCCCGGCCAGCTCCGTCTCTGGCGTTGGCGCTGCGGCCGTGGCGGAGGACTACGGCGACGAGGACGAGGGCCGCTCTTCGAGCTCTCTGCGTGCCGCGCCGCTCCGCTCCGCTGGCTGACCATCTGGAGTGCAGGCTGGGAGGCGGGATGGAGTGATAGGGAAGGTGACTCGGGGATCGGGGGCGGCGGGACCGGGCCGGATTTGGTCCGCGTGAGGCTTCGAGGAAGTTGGCCGGGGCGGACCGGCCCAGGGGAGTCCCGACGCCCTGGAGGGTGCAGGCTTGGGACCCTCCATGGCGGTGCACCTCCAGGCTGGGCGGACCGGGTGGGGGTGGGTACGATCCGGGGCCGCCGCCGAGGAGCGCGTCCCGAGTGCGTGGCCGCCCGTTGCCTGATGTTTCATCACCCGAATTGCCACGAGGCTTCCTTTAGGGGAGGGATCGGGGGAGGGATGGGAGCAAGGCTAGCCGAGGAGGGTCGGCATCGCCTGTGGTTCCCAAGCCCGTTAGTCATCGTTGTAGCCTTATCAACTGTGGAGACCTCAAACTTGATTCTTTCCCCACTCCTGGACAAAAAGGAGGAAACGTGTTATTTCTGTGCAGTAATTGGCCAGCACGGACGCTCCATTTCTTCTCAAATCTTCCTCACTATCCTGCAGGACTAGAGAAGCATGAGGTTTTCCTGTAACCAGAAAAACGAGTACTTTTTGAAAGTGCTAATTAGTTGTGGCGGGCGGGGGTTGGGGGAGAGTTCAGTTTTATTAAACCGACTTGTCAGCGTGGTGTTAAAAGGCTGGAAAGATACAGTCGTAGTCTTTGAAACAGTCTTCAGTAGGTGTAGAGGAATTTTCCAAATTGTTTGATTCTTAATGGCTGTCCAGGAAAAGTTAAGGCTTAATATTTTAAGTATGTTGCTCGCCTTCCCCCAGAACCTTTGCACGATGCATAATTGTTTACCGTATTAAAACAAATTTTTGGGTTTTTTTTTTTTTTTTTTTCTTTTTTGAGACGGAGTCTCGTTCTGTCGCCCAGGCTGCAGTGCAGTGATGCCATCTCGGCCCACTGCAACCTGTGCCTTCCAGGTTCAAGTGATTCTACTGCCTCAGCCTCCCGAGTAGCTCTGTTACAGGCGCGCGCTGCCACACCTGGCTACTTTTTGTATTTTTCGTGGAGGCGGTGTTTCACCGTGTTAGCCAGGATGGTCTCGATCTCCTGACCTCGTGATCCACCCGCCTCGGCTTCCCAAAAGTGCCGGGATTACAGGCGTGAACCACCGTGCCCGGCCTTCCACTGCATATTGATCGTCGAAGTGCCTTCTCTGTGGAGGATTCTTTTTGTAGTGACAACTGTAACTAGTTTGTTTCCTTGGGTTTATTGGCTGTTTTCCTTAGGGCCACTTGATTTTTCTCCTGATAGCTTCAGAGTGACTTGACCAAGCTTAAGCTTTTTTTTTTTTTTTTTTTTTTTTTTTTTTTTGACACAGTGTCTCACTCTGTCTCCCAGGCTGGAGTGCAATGGCACTATCTCCGCTCACTGCAACTCTGCCTACCAGGTTCAAGCGATTCTTCTACCTCAGCCTCCCGAATAGCTGGGCTTACAGTCATGTGCCACCACACCCGGCTAATTTTTGTATTTTTAGTAGAGCCGGGGTTTCTCCATATTGGTCAGGCTAATCTGGAACTCCGTACACCTCAGGTGATCCCTCCCCCGCTCGGCCTTCCTAAGTACTGGGATTACAGGCATGAGCCACCCTGCCCGGCCAGCATTTTTTTAAAAAAGCCCTAGCAAATTCAAGGAAGCTTTTATTGGACTTCTCAATTTGGGATTCTTAGAAACTCCGAAATTGTTTTTTCCCTCTGTGTGCATTTTTCAGGGGAATATACATCAGATTTTCTTAACATTTAGGGGGAGCGAAGGGAACCAGTGCCTTTCTTTGTGTTTTTCTATCTTTTAAAAATGCTGATCTACTAGTAAAAGAATGCCCCAAGTAGTTTCCATCCCCCATGTTCCTGCCTCTAATTATAAACAACCTATTGATGGCTCACTATGTGCCAGCCATGCTCTGCATACCTTATCTCTCTGAAGCCTTTACAACTTTATGAGGCAGATGGTCTTTTTCCCATGTCATAGAAAGGGTTCTCTTAGGTTTTGTAAGTTGTCCAAGTGGCCCCAATTTAAAAATGACAAGATGAGGATATAAACCCAGGTCTTTGAAATCCAAAACCTATGCTCTACTATGTCCTAGGGACATAGCGATGGATAGTGAAGACAGTCCTTGCCCTTTAAGATTATGAGAGATGGCCGAGTGGCTCACACCTGTAATCCCAGCACTTTGGGAGGCTGAGGCAGGCAGATCACCTGAGGTTAGGGGTTCGAGACCAGCCTGGGCAACATGGCGAAACCCCATCTCTACTAAAAACTACAAAAATTAGCCAGGTGTGGTGGCTCACCCCTGTAATCCCAGCTATTCGGGAGGCTGAGGCAGAAGAATCACTTGAACCCGGGAGCCAGAGGCTGCAGTGAGCCGAGATTGTGCCACTACACTCCACCCTGGGCGACAGAGTGAGACTGTCTCAAAAAAAAAAAAAAAAAAAAAAAAGATTAGTCAGAGACAACTAGTAAGCTGGCAGCGACAACATAGCACTGCTTAGGATGGGGCATGTAATCCAATTTGGGAGAGTTGGACAATAGGGGTCAAATAAGTGTTCCTGAAAGAGATGGCTTCTATGTTGAATTTCAAAGAACAGCAGGGGTTAACCTACTAACAAGAAGAAAGAGCAGTGTGCAAAGATGAAAGGTGGAATACCATTGGAGAACTGCCATGTGGTTCACTAGCACTGGCCTTGCTGCCCTGGGGTGCAGAATAGTGAGGAGTCATTCAGAAGTGTTTGGATCATAATCTGAAGGCAGCAGGGAGTTACACTGCCTTGAAGTCTGCAAGTATGATATGAACCATAAGAGAAAGGGCTGAGCTGTCTTCAAAGCTCTCAGTCCATATCCTGAGTTATTTGATTCAGGCAGGCTCAGAGGAAAATAGAAAAGCATGTTGTAGGTATCCTGTAACCTGGATCTGAGCCTGGCTTTGCTATTCCCTTAAAAGGCTTTTCTCCCCTACCCCCAACCCAATTAGTCTTTTGGCGTCTTTGGTTATTATAATTGAAATGAAATACCCCACAGCCTTTTTTTTGTTTTCTTTGAGACAGTCTCTCTGTCGCCCAGGCTGGAGTGCAGTGGCATGATCTCAGCTCACTGCAACCTCCACCTCCTGGGTTCAAGCCATTCTCCTGCCTCAGCCTCCCAAGTAGCTGGGATTACAGGTGTGTGCCACCATGCTCCGCTAATTTTTTTGTATTTTTAGTAGAGAGGGGATTTTACCATGTTGGCCAGGCTGGTCTTGAACTCCTGACCTCAAGTGATCCACCTGCCTCGGCCTCCCAAAGTGCTGGGATTACAGGCATGAGTCACCATGCCCGGCCCCCCACAGCCTTTAATGGAAGTAGTAAGACTCGGTCTCCCTACCTTACAGGTCTTGAGAAAATAAATAACATTTTCACATCATTTAGAGTTTGTTCCATGTTTGCTCAAATGAATATACATTCTATCAAAAACTAGGATGCCTTTTGCGGCTTATTATTTGAGAATGTTAGAACCTATATTGTGAAGAAGTAGATTACTTCTCAGAGATTAAAAAAAAATCTTAAATAAGAGTAGTCAGTGTTAAGTCATTTGTGGACTTTTTTTTTTTTGAGATGGAATCTCACTCTGTTCTCCAGGCTGGAGTGCAGTGGCACAGGGTTGGCTCACTACAACCTCTGCCTCCTGGGTTCGAGCGATTCTTGTGCCTCAGACACTCGAGGAGCTGGAATTACAGGTGTGTGCCACCACGCCTGCCTGATTTTTGTCTTTTTAGTAGAGACAGGGTTTCACCATGTTGGTCAGGCTAGCTTGAACTCCTGACCTTAAGTGATCTGCCCACCTCGGCCTCCCAAAGTTTGGGATTACAGGTGTGAGCCACTGTGCCTGGCTGGTTTGTGGGTTTTTGTATCTAGTATTGAAAATTTTTTTTTGAAATTTCTAGAATTGGCTGGCAAAAGCAGAGATCTATAAAATGCAAAACTAAGTCCATTGCTCAAAAGCTGAATGACTGAAGTTCCTTTCGTTAGACTTCTGTTGTGGTATTTAGTAAACACTCCAAAGGATATTGAACTCTGAGGTCAGCCATTCTAATGTTTTAAAGAAGGTTTGTGATATTGGTATCTGTAAGTAGACAAAGTATTATAATTACTGTAATAAAATAGGTTTTGTCATTTTTATACTTAACTGCACTTGCACAATTGCATTTTTAAGTACCAGAGATAAGTAAAATACTGCATAAATTAGGTGCATCTACTATTTAAAGTAGAAAATGATTACTTTCTATACCTTATTAAGAAGATCTTGAAGACTAAAAAAGCTTGAGGACCTTAATGGCATACTTTAAGATTTTTAGAAATTACACATTAATGGAGTAGTTAGCAGAGCCCATTTTTCTGAGAATTAGGCTCTAACTTTTCATTGTGATTTAAATAAGTTCCAAAAGAAGTTCTTTAAACATTTAAGCTTCTTTGCATGATTTTATCCATTTACGTTATTCGGGATAAGCATCTATTTGTTTTATCAAGTAATGTTTTCTTTCAACTTTGTTTTTTGTGGCAGATGTTTATAAATTCTTCTGTGGGATCAGAGGGCACGCCTATTGTAACCAGAAAACTCCAAGTATAGCAGCAAGGATGGATGAACAGGCTCTATTAGGGCTAAATCCAAATGCTGATTCAGACTTTAGACAAAGGGTAAGTTACTCTGCTGAATCATTTTTTAAACCATGTCACCACAGATTGGCATTAGGGGACTTGAATAAAAATGTACCTGGCAAAGGTCTACTTTGGGTAGAAATGAACAGAAACAAAAAAATTTGAGATATTTGAATATATTTTGAATATAGAAACAGTGAGTATTATGATTTACTTTCTGTTTACCTGGCCAAACAAAAGTATTAAAATCTCATATGATTCAAGGCGGATCTTTATGCCACATCAGTCATTATTTCTAATTATTTAAAAGTTGTAATGCAAAGGATTCGTTTGAGAGACTTTCCATAGAAGCAGACATGTGTATTTTATTTTCTCAATGCTTGGCTTGATCTATACAAGCTGTTTTAACACATACCTTAATGGTTTTTTTTTTTTTTTTTTTAATTTTTTTGTAGAGATAGGGTTTCACCATCTTGCCCAGGCTGGTCTCGAACTCCTGAGCTCAAGCGATCTGCCCGCCTCAGCTTCCTAAAATGCTGGGATTATAGGCATGAGCCACCCTGCCTGGCCACATTAGTGATATTTAACATTCTTGTTATATGGTCTAGGCAGACATAAATAAGCAGTTATGATAGGTTATGTCTTAAGTAAAATGATTACATGACAAGAATCCATTATAAAGTGCTGGGATAGTTGGATAAATGTAAACAATTTAATGTAGCCTACAACTATAATCATGACTATAGCTGAATGATAGAAGAATATAAAGAATGAGCCTATAATTAATTTTTTTAAATACATGTGGGCATTCTGAAGTATAGGGTAAGTGGAAAGGAAAGAAGCATTTTCTTTTTACTTTTCATAGCAAAGAATACTTTCTATAAATGAGCTAAATGAGGTTAACAATCTCACTAAATATTATCGCATTTTTTATTCTTACTTTAAGAAAAAAATCTTTTAAAGCAGTAAAAAAAACCCCAACTAGTTTCTAATATAGTACCATGTGCATGTCTCTGCTACTAAATAAGTAGCCCTTCAGATACAGGAAAATAATAGGAATTGAGATTTAAGTATCTGGCTAATTACAAGAAAACTATCAAACAAGTTAGGACATCAAAAGACATTTAAAATCCATGTCTTCTCTGTGTAAACAAATCTTTCTTGCCATAGGGTTTTATGCTACCTACTTTCAAACGTAGTTGAAGCATCATAGATCTTTACCTTTAGTCTAGCTTGCTATTGCATGTTTATAATTAAAAGCCTTTGACTGTATGTTTAGTTATTAAATGGCCTTTACTATTATTTTTATGTGCCTCTTGAAATCTTTCATTTCTTAAGTTCCAGCATCCAGTTTTTTAAAATGTACCATGATTTCTTTTTCAGAAAATTAAAACCAATGCATTATTAGTGGTTTTAATACAGAAGTTCTGCTTTTTGTCAATAAAAATGGGTTCTGTCACAGACGCGTTTTAAGCATCCAGTTCCAGGCATAATTCGGTATCCATTTAGCCAATCTGAATAACAATTTATTCGGATGAAAGGGAAGAAATCTTAAGGAAAGTGAATTCTGACAGCCCTTTTGTTGCAGTTCGGGAGTAGTGGAAACTTAATTCAGTTTGGTGGTGAGAAGAATGACTGTCTGCCAACCCTAGTTGCTCACTTGTCTATCTGTAATTCTCTGTTTTTCACATGGGCAATAAAAGTGAACTGACTCTTGTCACATAGAGTCAATAAACCATTAGAGAAAAGGTATGGGGTAGAACTAGGTGGTGAAAGCTAGGACTTGTTTGTCAGTGTCGTAGAATTTTGTTTTTTTAATTGTTAGTAATGCATAGATTCAGAATACAGAGGCTTTGTTTAAAAACTAAAAACTTCCAGGTTATCTCTCCTCTCCTTCCACTGCCCTTTTTTTTTTTTTTTGAGACAGAGTTTCGCTCTGTTGCCCAGCCTGGAGTGGAATGGCGCCATCTCAGCTCACAGCAACCTCTAACTCCCAGGTTCAAGGGATTCTTCTGCCTCAGCTGGGATTAGAGTAGCTAGGATTAGAAGCGCACACCACCATGCCTGGCTAATTTCTGTATTTTTAGTGGAGACAGGGTTTCACCATGTTGGTCAGGCTGGTCTCAAACTCCTGAACTCGTGATCTCCCCGCCTCAGCCTCCCAAAGTGCTGGGATTACAGGCGTGACCCACCATGCCCAGCCTCCCACTTTTTAAAAAATAAAACACTCGTCTTTGGCTTAAAACCTGTTACTATTTAAAGAAAAGGGTATGTCATGACATTGCTAGCAGCTGAAACCACCTCTCCCCTCTTTTGTAAGTGAAATATTAGGTGATAGTGCAACATACATGATTAACTTCTACCTTGTCCCCTGGCCTCTGAGATATTCCTAAAGGAAACCCTGTGTTTCATGGACTGCTGTTAGAAACAACTAAGCTAGTAGTATCTTTTATCGCTGCCTGTGCTCTTATAGTCTTAACTTCTAAAGAGAGACATTATTTACTCTGGGCTGTTTTCCAATACCAACAACCAACTCTCTGATTCTGTGGACACCAACTGGTTGTCCTACAAATCAATTCATTTCTGACACTAGCAGGATTAGCATCACATCCCACAAGTTATGGGCTCAGTCTTACAAACCGCCCCCACTTAAGACACCAGTCGAGTCCAGAACCTCTCATATTTCTGATGATGGAGTAGCCCACAGAACTTAGAAAAACAGTTGACTTACTTGTACTGATTTATTATGAAGGATACACCTCATGAGCAGCCACATGGAAGTGATGCATAGGGCAAAGTATAGGGGAAGGGGCACAGAGCTTTTGTGTCCTCTCTAGGAACACCACCCTCTCAGCATCTCGATGTGTTTGCCAACCTGGAAGTTCAAGAGTTTTTATAGAGTTGAATCGTCAGTCCCCTCTCCCCTTCCCAGAGATTGGTAGTTAGGGCTTAAATTTCCAACACTTTAATAAATTGATCTTTCTGGTAACCAGCCCTATCCTGAGGCTGTCTAGGTTTCCCACAGCAAGTTACCTCATTAACATAAGCTCTGTTGACCTCGAAGTCTCTAGCGATCCTTCCACCTTAGCCTCCCAAGTAGTTGAGACTATAGATGCATGTCACCACTCCTGGCTAATTTTTAAATTTTTTGTAGAGACAGGGTCCCACTATGTTGCCCAGGCTGGTCTTGAACTGCTGGCCTCAAGTCATCCTCCCACTTTGGCCAAAGTGTTGAGGATTATAGGTGTGAACTGCTGTGCCTGGCCCAAAGGGGCTCATTATAAATTACAAAAGACAGTCCTGTTGCTCGGGAAATCCCAAGAGTTTTAAGAGCTCTGAGCCAGCAACTGGCTGCAAAGCCCAAATGTATTTTTTTGTTATACCGCATATTTAATACTATATTTGGTGATCTTCACCTGATCACCTTCATTTACCTGGTCTTCTGTCAGTGGGAGCTGCCATTGAGACCATGTATGAAAACCCATTCTCTCATTCATACAGTTACATAGTATAGGAAACTATCACCTAAGTATAAATACAGTGGCTTTGATCTGTAACCCAAAGAAAAAAATAACTTTATATCTTGATGACCTAGTGTGTGTGTATATATTTATATGTACATATACACGTAAATAACTAAAACAAGTTACAGAAAGTAATATTCTTGCTAGGGTACAGTCACAATATCTAATATTCTCTATTTCATTTTTAAAAATTGTTCAGTACCCATAAACTGATTTCATAACTAGTGGGAGACACCACCGTTTTAAAAATATTTACCAGTTGAAATTAGGTTTCTCTAAGGCTTATGTTTCTTTTACCTCATGTCAGGTTTTGTATCAGTACATAATTGGTGTCAAATCATCTAGCAGTGTTTCCAGTTGCTGTGCAATTTTCTTGTCTGTTGGAGATACTTTTCACAAGACGTTCACTACTATTTGTCCATTACCATGTGTGAAACCTGCATCTGGTGCAACATGCTGATGGGAAGAGTGCCTGAAGTAACTCCCATTTTCCCAACAGTTTGGTAGAGAGCATATGGACTTTGTGCTGCATCCATTCTAGAGTACTCCTTGTTGGCACTGTTACTTGCAATTACAAGGCCCTGAATTCATAAGCTTAGAGATAAGAAACTTCCTCAAGCTTTGACCTTTTCAGTTACTTAATATTTTTCAAAATTTATATCATGCATTTGTACTCTAATTTTAATCTCTTTAGGAAACTTACATGGTATAATTAAAGACTTGAAATACTCTCCTTTTCTGTAACAGTAGATCAGATAAGGTACACAGTATGTTTTATCTTTTATAATCACCGCTTTAATAGCAGATGTGCTATTAAATAGGAAAAGTGCCCTTTATATGCCATTTTATAATTGCATATTTTAAAATGATCACACCCTTAACTCATCCTCTGCAATTTCTCAGTAGTATGGCAGTTGACAAAGCACTTGCTCTCATTCTTCATAATAACCCAGTGAAGTCTGTGGGGCATTTTTGTGTTGCTGCTGCTGTAAAAAAACAGGTTTGATTATCTAACTGATGGAATTTATATTTATTTAACCTATTTTTAGGAATGACCCCTAAGTTGCATATGTTCGGAAGCCTGTATTTAATGTTTTAGCTGTTTTTCTATTAAGTTTACTGACTTGTTATAGGTTTGCAACTCTCAGAATATTTTGTTTAGTATTAGCAGGGCATTGAGATTGTTTATTCTAAATGCATTTTTTTGTTTTGCAATCTTACAGGCCCTGGCCTATTTTGAGCAGTTAAAGATTTCCCCAGATGCCTGGCAGGTGTGTGCAGAAGCTCTAGCCCAGAGGACATATAGGTAATTAAAACAAAATTTGCATGACAATTTAAATTTCTATGGGCATGACAGGACTGTTAAATTTACCTGTATTTGGAAAGTGTTTTCATAAAAACATTTTATGACTTTTTTTTTTTTTTTTGCAAAGTCATTAACATATAGTCATTCCATGTAGAAATGAGAAAAGCAGTAAACCAACAGTTTGGCCATTTCAGAATTAACTTTTCAGTAAAACCATCCTTTGCCATATATTGTGTACCTGTGACCAGATCCCAGCTGGAATAAAGTGCCGAAAAAACTTCCTTATCATAATTGAGAGTGATAACTGCTTTTCTAAAACATTGGTAAAGAAAGTTACTGTAAATGACATATATCTTAATTTTATTTTATTTTTTTTTCTTGAGATGGAGTCTCGCTCTGTTGCCCAGGCTAGAGTGCAGTGGCGCGATCTAGGCTCACTGCAAGCTCTGCCTCCTGGGTTCACGCCATTCTCCTGCCTCAGCCTCCTGAGTAGCTGGGACTACAGGCGCCCACCACCATGCCCGGCTAAGTTTTTTGTATTTTTTTTTTAGTAGAGACGGGGTTTCACCGTGTTAGCCAGGATGGTCTCAATCTCCTGACCTCGTGATCCGCCCGTCTTGGCCTCCCAAATTGCTGGGATTACAGGCGTCAGCCACCGTGCCTGGCCTGTATCTTACTTTTTAATTTTAACTTAAGTATATAATCATTCAGTGACCAATCTTTTGATATTGGACCACAGTCTATATCTTTGTATACTAACTAGCATTCACTTTATTTGTAGGTTGGTCACACCTATAACCCATCCTCTACAATTTCAAGCATGGGTCTCTGTACAATGAGTGACGATCCATAGATTTTTAAGATATTTGTCCCCGTCTCTCGAGTTTTCTGGTTATGTAGGCCATGTCAAATATATACAAGATGTTTTCCTTCTGCAGTGTGGCTTTCTATGAAATCTTTCTAAAGCATTCAACTAACTTTTTACAGAAATAGGAACTCTTTTATACTCACTTCATTGGCAGATTGTTGGTCCCTAAAGGATCTTTGTCAGTGTTTATAGCTGGCTTACTGCAACTCTGTCACTCCCCTAGAAAGACAATTGGAAGTGGGTAATTGGTATGTTAACTTTTGCCCCCATCTTATAAGCAAGGGTACCATATTTGTAATTTAGTTTCCTATATGAAAACTTTGAAGCTGGACTGACAGTCCATGTGGCCCTGCTTGTTTTGGATTTGGCTACAATAGAACTACTGGGGTTTAATTTTAAGCAGGACTTGGATGACCATCTCTACTTTCACTCAGACTCTGGCTGTTCTGCCATTTGTCATTTTACACCTAACCTGTTATTGTAAAATGAAGGGGTTGTTCCAGGAATCTTAATATCTGGAATTTAAGGGGATGGTTTGCTGTTTACAAAGCACTGTATTCAAGGTGCATCTTAATATTTTGGTAATTTTTTGCTTGTCAGAGTTAACGGAAATTTTAAATATTGTATAATATTTAAAGTTCTCATAGCTTTTTAAGTAAATGGATTTTAATGTCATAAAATGAGACCAGTAAGTATGAAACAAGCCGAAGGTCTAGTTTGAGAAACTTTTCTGCTGTGCTACTCATAACTATTTTGCCTTCGATTTCTTTTCCTCAGTTCATATTCTGCTTATCTCATTTTCTTTTTTTCTTTTTCAGTGATGATCATGTAAAGTTTTTCTGCTTTCAAGTACTGGAACATCAAGTTAAATACAAGTAAGGCTTTTCTCACCGTTTTGACTCAGATTTGCAGGGAGAGGTCATTTTTTTAATTTAATGTTTTTCTTCCTTAAGGAAACCATAATACAGGTTATAAATTGACAGTGTATATGTTATATCCAGGTTATAGATGTGTTTTGATGTATCCCAGAGTGTTTTAAAAGTGCTGAGTTGGCCAGGTGCGGTGGCTGTCACCTGTAATCCCAGCACTTTGGGAGGCTGAGGCCGGTGGATCACTTGAGGTCAGGAGTTTGAGACTAACCAGCCTGGCCAACATGGTGAAACTCCATCTCTACGAAAAATACAAAAATTAGCCAGATGTGGTGGCATGCACCTGTAATCCCAGCTACTCAAGAGACTGAGGCACAAGAATTCCTTGAACCCGGGAGGCGGAGGTTGCAGTGAGCCAGGATCACACCACTGTACTCCAGAATGGGTGACAGCAAGCCTCCATCTCAAAAATTTAAAAAGTGCTGAGTTTGTTGGTTACATATAAAAATCCAAGGCTGGGCGCAGTGGCTCATGCCTATGATCTCAGCACTTTGGGAGGCCAAGGCAAGAGGATCATTTGAACTTCAGGAGTTTGAGACCAGCCTGGGCAACATAGTGAGACCTCATCTCTACAAAATTTTTTTAAAAAATTAGCCAGGTGTGGCTACCTGCTTCTATATTCCCAGCTACTGGGGAAGCTGAGGCCAAGAGGTTGAGGCTTCAGTGAGCCATGATAGTACCACTGCACTTAAGCCTGGGCAACACAGCAAGACCTTGTCTCAAAAAAAAAAAAATGAAAATCCAGACATTTCACAGAAAAATCTAGATTTCCAGCTTTTCTGGAAAAGTCAGAATATCTGGTAACACCAGGCCTGTTTTTCTACACGACAGCTCTCAGAGTTAAGTGACTGCATGGGCGCTTGTGTTCAGAATCTCTGACTTACTAATTAATCCAAATAACGAATCAGTACTGAGAGGATTCCTAGTTCACCTGTTGGTTTATTCTGTAGATCACAGACCACAAAACATACTTTCTTTTGAAAAATTGTGTAGCCGTCATTTGTTTCAACATGAATAGAATCACAAATTAAAGATTGATATTGATATCCTACCTGCCACTCTCGTCCTTATCTGTAAAGCAGTGATGAGTGGCATTATCAGTTTATGTTAGGAAACTTTAGATAATTGAGAGCTATACAAATTTTCCCTTTTAAATATTTGAGGCTGTTATTTTTCACAACTATAGATACCAAATATAGCCATTATTCTTTTTCTTCTCTATTTTGAACAGATACTCAGAACTAACCACTGTTCAACAACAACTAATTAGGGAGACGCTCATATCATGGCTGCAAGCTCAGGTAAAATCGTAATTTCATTCAGTACCTCAAATTACTAGATATTTAAACTTGTTTTTGCAAGAGTTTGGAACTTTACCTCAAAGATTTTGATCAGTGTTCCTCCATTTGATTTTATAGCTTTTTTAAAAGGTGCTGGTTTTAAAGATCATGGAAGTGGGAGTTTAGCAATAATTTAATAATTATATCAATGACTGAAATGGTCATAGCTTCCATGATACCTTGTGGAAACTTTGGTTTTAAAATGTAGTTGTTTTTCACTACTTGACAAACTCTGCTTTCTGTTTGGCTCTTAAAGGTGAGCCCTCCTGGACAGGCTCTCCACAAGAGCCCTTTATAAAGGGCCAGTTGAGTTCTTTTCAGTTAATTTTAGCTAATCTTAACACGTAAAGCAGCTGTGTAGCTAGAGTTTTTATTTTCCTTAAAGAGCAAGTAGACAGAAGAAAAACAATTTTTTTTCTTAGAAGAAATGATAGGAACTATTAAAACTCTGCACATGAAACTTTTCTGTCAAAGTGTAAGAATGAGGAATAACCATTACAGCCTTTAATGGTTCATTTAATTGTTCTTCATCTGTCCAATCACTTAAATACTTTTGATAATTTTGAAAATCATAATTATCAAAATAATTTTGAAGAATATTTGTTGCATAGTTTATCTGAGCCATGTTGACATTTGATGAAGCTTTGCCTTTTAATAAGACAACATGTTTCTGGGTCTTTTCAATTTACATTTAATTTTATGGACTGTTTCTCTGTCAGATGCTGAATCCCCAACCAGAGAAGACCTTTATACGAAATAAAGCCGCCCAAGTCTTCGCCTTGCTTTTTGTTACAGAGTATCTCACTAAGTGGCCCAAGTTTTTTTTTGACATTCTCTCAGTAGTGGACCTAAATCCAAGGGGAGTAGATCTGTACCTGCGAATCCTCATGGCTATTGATTCAGAGTTGGTGGATCGTGATGTGGTGCATACATCAGAGGCAAGTAACCATGGATTTTTTATATTTAATGTTAAGTTTTGTAGGAGATAATGGGCACATACTAAAAGGAGCAGAAAGCTTTCTTGAGGTAAACTTTCTTAAGTTATATAATTATAAATTTACTTAATGTTTTGGATTGTATTTTATGAAGGAACTCAAACTTGGTTATTTTTTTTCCAGAGGTATATTGAAATTAAAGTATTGCGTTAATTTTTTTTTTTTTTTTTTTTTTGTGAGACGAAGTCTTGCTCTGTTGCCCAGGCTGGAGTGCAGTGGCGCAGTCTTGGCTAACTGCAACCTCCGCCTCCCGGATTCAAGCAATTCTCCCACCTCAGCCTCCCAAGTAACTGGGATTATAGGCACATGCCACCACACCTGGCTAATTTTTGTATTTTTTGTAGAGATGGGGTTTTGCCGGGCTGGGCTTGAACTCCTAACCTCAGGTGATCCGCCCACCTTGCCCTCCCAAAGTGCTGGGATTACAGGCATGAGCCACTGCGCCCAGCCTAAATTTTTTTTAACTAGGCAAATACCATAGCGACATACACAAGTTGATTTTCTTTTATGAATCTGTTGAGAAAGGTAGTCTCTATTTAATACTGCTATATAGTCCCTGAGCAAGGAAGAAGCATTGTTTAGGAGTTGTCAATGTTGTTGCTTCTGTATTCTTCATCACATAGTATAAGTACTTTGTTACTGTATTGAGAAATACCTTAAAACATGCTTAAGATTTCTAAGCAATGCTTATTTATAGTTTGTATTTACTAAGAAATTGACACTGAGGAGTAGAACAGAAAGAGGAAATACAAAGAATCACAGGATATGAGCTTAGAGCTTGTAAATAGGAAATACTGGTAGAGAATGTGTTAACAAGCCTGCAAGTTTACTCTGTGCAAGTATATTCAGCTATCAAACATTTTGTAAGGTAATGTGTGCATTTGGCGTTTTGTATTTTAGGAGGCTCGTAGGAATACTCTCATAAAAGATACCATGAGGGAACAGTGCATTCCAAATCTGGTGGAATCATGGTACCAAATATTACAAAATTATCAGTATACTAATTCTGAAGTGACATGTCAGTGCCTTGAAGTAGTTGGGGCTTATGTCTCTTGGATAGACTTATCCCTTATAGCCAATGATAGGTAAGTATGCCTATTATTTTTATAGCATAAACTTGTAAAATACAGTATCTAAAACTCATGACTTTGAAAATGTTACAACAATTTTATTTTCCCATTCCAGGTTTATAAATATGCTGCTAGGTCATATGTCAATAGAAGTTCTACGGGAAGAAGCATGTGACTGTTTATTTGAAGTTGTAAATAAAGGAATGGACCCTGTTGATAAAATGAAACTAGTAGAATCTTTGTGTCAAGTATTACAGTCTGCTGGGTTTTTCAGCATTGACCAGGTTGGTAAATTTATATAAAAACCTATATATAAAGTTGTTAGAACAAACTGGGATAGGTACTAAATTAAATATAATGTTAGTTTTTTTTTTCTTCTAAATGTTATAAACTCTCCTTGAGATTATAATATAAACCACTGCATCTAGCCAAAATGTTCTCAGTAGCATTCTCCTTAGAAAATAGGTTATACCAGTTCTTAAACTTGAAAGCCTGGAATTGCAAATTTCTCACAAACTCAGGAGATGCTCACACAACTTGTTCATAGTGGAATTGAGATTTTTTGTTTTGTTTTGTTGTTTGAGATGGAGTCTCGCTCTGTTGCCCAGGCTGGAGTGCAGTGGCAGTCTCGGCTTACTGCAACCTCCATCTCCCGGGTTCAAGTGATTCTCCTGTCTCACCCTCCCGAGTAGCTGGGATTACAGGCACACACCACTACACCCGGCCAATTTTTTACTTTTTTGGTAGAGACGGGGTTTCACCATGTTGGCCAGGCTTGTCTCGAACTCTTGACCTCAGGTGATCCACCCACCTTGGCCTTCCAGAGTACTGGGATTACAGGCATAAGCCACGATGCCCAGCCTGGAATTGTTAAATATATAATGTCACTTTAAAATTGAATCCTGTAATTAGCACTTGATTCATACTAAAGTTCAGTTTTTCCTCTTAGCTTGGGCACGCAGTTTTAAACAGAAATGTGTCTTCATTGCTTATAGGAAGAAGATGTTGACTTCCTGGCCAGATTTTCTAAGCTGGTAAATGGAATGGGACAGTCATTAATAGTTAGTTGGAGTAAATTAATTAAGAATGGGGATATTAAGAATGCTCAAGAGGCACTACAAGCTATTGAAACAAAAGTGGCACTGATGTTGCAGCTACTAATTCATGAGGATGACGATATTTCTTCTAATATTATTGGATTTTGTTATGATTATCTTCATATTTTGAAACAGGTAAGTTTTTGTTTTATTCTTTTTGCTCAGTACATAATACAAAGGAGCCATGGAGAAGTGGAAAATATGGAAAAATTAAAAATGAGAAAATACCCATAATTCTACTACTTAAAAGATATTTACTGTTAAATACTAATGTATTTCCATCTTAAAAAAAAAAAGAATTGGCCAGGAAATAGTTTCAGGTTCTAAATTCAGTAGACTAACCAGCTTCAGAGGTAGTTATAGGTTTAGGTTATTTTTTTATTTTGAACCTGTCTTTGTGAATACTGTTGAAATTTTAATAAGCATGGTTTGTTATTTTAATTTACATGTACATCATTCATTTCTCATAAACTATTCATTTATTTATTTATTTTTGAGAGAGAGTTTTGCTGTTATTGCCCAGGCTGGAGTGCAATGGCATGATCTCAGCTCACCACAACCTCCACCTCCCAGGTTCAAGCGATTTTCCTGCCTCAACTCCCGAGTACCTGGGATTATAGGCATGCACCACCACGCCTAGCTAATTTTGTACTTTTGGTAGAGACAGGGTTTCTCCATGTTGGTCAGGCTGGTCTCAAACTCCCTACCTCAGGTGATCGCCCACCTCAGCCTCCCAAAGCGCTGTGATTACAGGTGTGAACCACCAAGCCCGGCAACAATTTTTTATGATTAAAGTGTCCCCCACTTCCAGAAAGAAATTGTAGGTGGTGTTAGTCTCCATATTATAGATGGAGAAATGGAAAGAGTCATTTCTGTATATTTACATTGAATTAATTGAATCAAGTCAAGCTTAAAATACCTTCCCAAATGAGTTTAGTTTCTGTTTTGTTGTAGTAAACATAACATGTATCTTTATGTATACTTTAAGAAATTTTATGCAGCAGTGTGGAAAGGTATGATCACTACTGGTAATCCCATTGTACAACTCCTAATGGTTTTGTAGGCTTGTTTGGCTTTGTTTAAAAACCTTTTTTGCAGAATATGTTGTAGGTGTCTTTGTCTACATGTCAAGTTACTTACTAGAAGTGGCATTACTTGATCTTAAGTTAGGTTAGGTACATTTTAAATATAGGCAGCTGCTGCTAAACTGCCCTCCAAAAAAGTTGTGTGCATGTTTTCAAAGATCTTAATTGATTAGAGGCCGGGCATAATGGCTGTCACTTGTAATCCCAGCACTTGGTAAGGCTGAGGTGGGAGGATTGTTTGAGGCCAGGAGTTTGAGACCAGGCTGGACAACATAGAGAGACTCCATCTCTATAAATAATAAAAAGAAAACCAGCCAAGCATGGTGGCACGCGCCTGTGGTCTCACCCTCCTGTGGGAGGGTGAGGTGGGAGGATCTCTTGAGCCAGGGAGTTGGAGGTTGCAGTGAGTCATGACTGTGCCACTGCACTCCAGCCTGGGCAACAGAGCAAGACCTTGTCTCAAAAAAAAAAAAAAAAAAAAAAAAGAAAGGTCTTAATTGATTAGAAAAATGTTCTGATATGCAGGTACAACTTTAGAAAACCTAATAAGTTATTGCTTACTTTTTAACAGCTTACAGTGCTCTCGGATCAGCAAAAAGCTAATGTAGAGGTAATTGACTTTATGCTTCTTTTAAACCAATGATAGATTCTTAGTCTGTAATTTGCCTTGAAATGTAGCTTAATTTCAAATTATATCAAATTAGAAGGAGACTGACAAAAACTCTTTTATTCTCAATTTTATTCTTAGGCAATCATGTTGGCCGTTATGAAAAAATTGACTTACGATGAAGAATACAACTTTGAAAATGAGGTAAGAAATTTTTTTTGTTGAGGAGAAAGGAGTTTTAATTTTATTATTTACTTATATCAAATTAATATTTCAAGTTTTTATTGTTTCAGGGCCCTTTAAAACTTGAAGTTCTTGAAAAATTAGTCTGTTTTTATTGACACCAACCTTGGGTGAAATTAATAGAAGCCTCTTAATCCTTCATTTTTGATATTTTATCCATTAACAACTCCCCCCCTTTTTTTTCTTTGAGACAGAGTCTCACTCTGTCACCCAGGCTGGAGTGCAGTGGTGCCATCTCGGCTCACTGCAACCTTTGCCTCCTAGGTTCAAGTGATTGTTGTGCCTCAGCCACCTGAGTAGCTGGGATTACAGGCACGTGCGACCATGCCCGGCTAATTCTTGTATTTTTAGTAGAGATGGAGTTTCGCCATGTTGGCCAAGTTGGCCTCAAACTCCTGGCCTCAAGTAATCTGCCTGCCTCAGCCTCCCAAAGTGTTGGGATTACAGGTGTGAGCCACTACACCTGTCCCATTAACAGCCCTTTTACAAATACTCTGTAGCACTGAACATAGTAAAATATTGATAGTATTATTGGTGATCATATTTCATTTTATATTTTGTAAGAATGAGGAACTCCAGTCACAAGACTGTATTGGTAGAGTGGAAATGAGGCGCTCTAGACTTGTTCCAGTTAAAAGTCTTTTTCAAGATTGTGAGTGGGTCAGCTTCCCATCAGACAAGGGCCATTGGTGCTTTCTAGGTATTCAGTCATGGTATTCGCTGCCAAGCTTTGTTCTAAAGTGTTTTATTCCCCCACTTCAGGCATTGAAAAACTTAAGAGTTGTAAAAGGACAATGGTGGTGATGACCAACACACTGTGCACTTGGGATGTGCCAGCCTCCTAACATTTAATATCTCCAGTTATACCACAGTATTACCACTTTTTACAGTGGATATTGACTTACAAGAATAAATAAGGTGCAAGATTTCAAAGCCCATTCTAGTGCTAGACTATTGCCTTTAACCTTCTTAGACTATTTCTGGCTCTAGGCTTTTGAGGCCTATGGCTGTGTGCAGAAATACTTATTTGTGAGCTAGAGGGGAGAAGTTATTAAGCATAGTAAGTTTTTCTATATAAATAGTGACAAAAAATAAAAGTACAAAATGTGTAAATGCAGAAAAATACAGAACTGGATATTTACATGAATTTTAAGGTCTTTTAAGTTTTTTATTTATTTTTATTATTATACTTTAAGTTTTGGGGTACATGTGCAGAATGTGCAGGTTTGTTACATTGGTATACATTTACCATGGAGTTTGCTGCACCCATCAACCCTAAGTTTTTTAAATGAGGATTTTAACCTGTATCATAGGGTGAAGATGAAGCCATGTTTGTAGAATATAGAAAACAACTGAAGTTACTGTTGGACAGGCTTGCTCAAGTTTCACCAGAGTTACTGTTGGCCTCTGTTCGCAGAGTTTTTAGTTCTACACTGCAGTAAGTTTGTCATTACTTTTGTAACAAGCCTACTTCTTTCTTTTGCTCTTTGATATGAGTCAAAAGAAATGATTCATATGACTTACTAATCCATGTTACTTATTGAGATCTTATGTGTATCTCTGGAAACAATGAAGTGTCTTCTTGATTTCTCTTGATCCTTTCTACCTTTGTGATATATATTATATTGCCTGGGAAAGTTAACAATTGCTATGACTTTTTAATAATTAAAAAGACTTTTGTTGGTGTCTTACCCTGTGCATAATTCACTGTATGAAAAATTTATCTTTAAATCTCACTGACATATTATACCTTGGTAGGAACTGGCAGACTACACGGTTTATGGAAGTTGAAGTAGCAATAAGATTGCTGTATATGTTGGCAGAAGCTCTTCCAGTATCTCATGGTGCTCACTTCTCAGGTGATGTTTCAAAAGCTAGTGCTTTGCAGGATATGATGCGAACTGTAAGTATACTGAAGATAATTTTGACCATAAATTTCTGTTTTCAGTATAAGCTAATGGGAGTTCCTTGTTAGAACTTAGTATATGTTAATACTGGGGCATTTTGATGTTCCAATAAATAAGAAGAGGTTTCTTAACTTTTTCCTGCTCTAGTTGGTAACATCAGGAGTCAGTTCCTATCAGCATACATCTGTGACGTTGGAGTTCTTCGAAACTGTTGTTAGATATGAAAAGTTTTTCACAGTTGAACCTCAGCACATTCCATGTGTACTAGTAAGTACTCTGGATTTTTTGTTACTTTACATGGATTTCAGCTAATGACTTGATAGCATTGTATTTTTCTGTCTATAACTTTTCTCAGAATCAGAACCTCTCAGAAATGCTTGGCACACTCTGAAAGTAACCCCTCCTCCATTTCTTTTAAATGGATAGTTTGTGCCCAATTAGCCAATCAACTAAAACAAGTTCTCAGAGGACTGTTTGTGTGTAGTTTAGAATTACTTGTGTATTCCTGGTTCCTGCGTTTTAGGAGCTAAGATGTAAAATTTGGTGTGAACAAAAATGTAGCATGACAATAGCAACAAAACCCCTGAAAAAGTGCAGAAATAGTAAAAGTGTCTCCTTCTTTAGATGGCTTTCTTAGATCATAGAGGTCTGCGGCATTCCAGTGCAAAAGTTCGGAGCAGGACGGCTTACCTGTTTTCTAGATTTGTCAAATCTCTTAAGTAAGTATAAAATTGCAGCTAATATGTTGTTTTTTAAATTACTGAATTGATGTAAAACAATAGTAAAGACATGGAATCAACCTAGGTGCCCATCAGTGGTGGATTAGATAAAGAAAACATAGGCCAGGTGTGGTGGCTCACGCCTATAATCCCAACACTGGGAGGCCGATCACGAGGTCAGGAGTTCAAGACCAGCCTGGCCAACATGGTGAAACCCCATCTCTACTAAAGATACAAAAAATTAGCCAGGCGTGGTGGTGGGTGCCTGTAATCCCAGCTACTCAGGAGGCTGAGGCAGGAGAATCGCTTGAACCTGGGAGATGGAGGTTGCAATGAGCCAAGATCGCGCAATTGCACTCCAGTGTGGGTGATAGAGTGAGACTCAGTCTCAAAAAAAAAGAAAGAAAAAATGCAGTACACATACATCATGAAATACTAAACAACCATAACAAAGAACAAAATCATGTCCTTTGCAGCAACGTGGATGCAACTGGAGGTCTTTAAGCAAATTAATGCAGAAACAAAAAAATGCCACATGTTCTCACTTATAAGTGGGAGCTAAATTTTGGGTACACACAGACATAAAGCTGGGAGCAAAAGACATTTGGGACTCCAAAATGAGGGAGGGAGTGGGGCAAGTGCTGAAAAACTTCCTATTGGGCACTGTGTTCAATATCTGGGTGATGGGATTGGATCAATAGAAGCACAAATCTCAGCATCCCATGATATGCCCGTGTAACAAACCCCCTGAATTTAAAATGAAGATGGAGGGCTGGCGCAGTGGCCCACTCCTGTAATCCCAGCACTTTGGGAGGCTGAGGCAGGTGGATCACCTGAGATCAGGAGTCCGAGACTAGCCTGGCCAACATGATGAAACCCGGTCTCTACTAAAAATACAGAAAATTAGCCAGGCGTGGTGGTGGGTGCCTGTAGTCCCAGCTAATGGGAGGCTGAGGCAGCTTTGGGAGGAGGCTGAGGCAGGAGAATCGCTTGAACCCAGTAGGCAGAGTTTGCAGTGAGCAGAGATCGTACCATTGCACTCCAGCCTGGATGACAAGAGTGAAACTCTGTCTCAAAAAAATAAAATGAAGATGGAAATGAAAAAAAAGTAGACATATAAATTATTTTCCAAGTGCCTATGGTAGATTTGGTTCTTCCTGTTCAAGTCAAGTCATGTTTTGTCAGGTAGATGTCCCCCCCCCGACTTTTTTTTTTTTTTTTTTTTTTGAGACAGAATTTCACTCTTGTTGCCTAGGCTGGAGTACAATGGTGCGATCTTGACTCACTGCAACCTCTGCCTCCTGGGTTGAAGCAATTTCCCACCTCAGCCTACCAAGTAGCCAGGATTACAGGTGCCCATCACCACACCTGTCTAATTTTTTGCATTTTTAGTAGAGATGGGGCTTCACCATGTTGGTCAGGCTGGTCTTGATCTCCTGACCTGAGATGATCCACCCTCTTCAGCCTCCCAAAGTGCTGGGATTACAGGCATGAGCCACTGCACCCAGCCCCCATTTTATGTTGCCACTTCCTTTCCTGTTCATCAGGCAAGTACTTAGTTCAATACTAAAAGTTTTTATTATTTGTTGTTGTTGTTATTTTTTTGAGACAGGGTCTCACGCTATCGCCTAAGCTGGAGTGTAGTGGCTTGATCCCAGTTCACTGCAACCTCAACCTCCTCAGGCTCAGGTGATCTTCCTACCTCAGCCCCCGGAGCACCTGGGACTACAGGCGTGTGACAGTGGCCAGCTAATTTTTGTATTTTTTGTAGAATCGGTCTCACCGCATTGCCCAGGCTGGTCTCAAATTCTTCAGCTCAGTCTTCCCACCTCGGCCTCCCAAAGTGTTGGGATTACAGAAATCAGCCACTGCACCTGGCCTGTATTATTCTTTACTAGTACCATTTTCGGGGAATGAAAACTACTCCTTATTAGGCTTATAAGATTGTAAGTCATTTTGACAGTCTTATCACTACAGAGCAGATAAAGGTAATTTTTAAAAATTAACCATAGCTAATCTTAATCAGAAGTGACTAGCCTACAACTGAACTTTTTTTTAGTTCTGTCTTAAAGGGGGAATTTGGTATTTTACCACTGTTTTGAGCACTGTTATTAATTGTGATTTTCCTTTTTGCTGTTTTTCAGTAAGCAAATGAATCCTTTCATTGAGGATATTTTGAATAGAATACAAGATTTATTAGAGCTTTCTCCACCTGTAAGTATCTGTCTCTTAAGATATTTTACCCAAAAATCATTTAAGCCACACATGCCATTAGGTTTACCTTTGTGGGCATTTAAAAAAAACGGGTGGTGGAGGGAGGTGTATGTGCAAAGATTAGTTCTATTTACCAAAATTCTGTTGACACAGTAAATAAAATATAGTAATAGGAATCAAGAGTTGACAGATCAATTTGGCAGCATGGGGTTAGATATATTGTTAAAATGTTGAAGCATTTTATGAAGAAGAAAAAATTAAAGATGAGCTTGCTGTTAAGTTAAAATGAAAAGTATATTAAAAATTTTAAAAATGAAAAGAAAATAAAAATTGAGAAAAAAAATTCAACTTCTAAATTATTCTGTTTAGTCCTATGATTGTATTAGCCATTCTTAGCAGCTGCTACTGCTAGATCAAAGGTTTTCCCTGTCATTTCAGGCTTAGGGTAAAAAAAAAATTAAGTGCTTGTCAATCTGAATATTTTGGCGTTGGGATTGGGCCATAATCCCAAGCGTTAAAATCCTGAAATCCTAAAAACCACAATTCCGAAAGATCAAAATCTTAAAAATATACTCCTGGAAAAAGTAATTTTAAAAAATTATTTGAAAGACATTGCTTTACATTTTTAAAAGGGAATGTATTTGAGAAACATGTAAAAACATGACAGCACTTCATAGTCCACTTTACACAATAAAATAGGCAATAATAACATATGCTTTTGCAAGTATAAGCACTCAGTTATAAAAATGACAGTTACATGGGTAAAACAGGAGCAGACAAACTGTATTCATAAAGAAATAGATCAGAAAGCAAAATGTGTAAGTGCATATCACTATGGTTAGTAATTGTGTGCCACTCAGTTTTATAACTGCGCTTACCTGAAATAACCATGACAGACAACCTAAGTCTTGAGGAAATTGATAAAAAATGGCAATGGGTCACTACAACATATGCAGTCACCCAAAGAACTGAGATCACAAGAAATTTTATGTTTCACAGATGCAGATATACAGAAAGGACCTTTCTTGTGTACATGCACAGTGTTTACACACACAGTTAATGCTGTGTGTAATGCACTTTTGTGGAGTCAAATCTCTGATGTTCAAGGCAGCAGAAGAAAAGTCTGTCCAGCTTTCAGAGAGAGACCAATTCGCCTTATGTATTTGTTCTCTCAGTGCCCCTGGTCAATTGGATGGTGCCCGCCAACACTGAGGGCAGGTCTTCCCCACCTAGTCTACTTGGACCAACTAATCTTTTCTGGAATGACCCTCACAGACACATGCAAAATAATGCTTTACTATGTATTTATTACTTAATTATTTAAAAGAAGTGTAGGTAGCCCTCTAGTACTTTTTTTTTTTTTTTTTTTTTGAGACAGAGTCTTGGCTCTGTCGCCCAGGCTGGAGTGCAGTGGCATGGTCTTGGCTCATTACAACCTCCATCTCAGGTTCAAGCAATTCTCCTGCCTCAGCCTCCCAAGTAGCTGGGACTACAGGTGTGCCACCACACCCAGCTAATTTTTTGTATTTTTAGTAGGGACAGGGTTTCACCATGTTGGCCAGGCTGGTCATGAACTCCTGACCTCAAGTGATCCGCCTGCCTCGGCCTCTCGAAGTGCTAGGATTACAGGCATGAGCCACCACATGCAGCCTAGCCTCATAACAATCTTATAAATAAGATCTTTACAAAAGAAAACAAGTTAGAAAGCTAACTTTAATAAATCATGATCATTTGTAGAGTCTTGTCAGGGCTGGAATTAGAACCATGATCTGTTGACCTCCAATTTAGTTTTCTTTTCATTCTATGGTCCTGGGAGAAAATTTGTCTTTATAAGTATTTGATACATGAGTTGGTGTGATAGATTACATTTCCTGTTCCTAATGCACGTTTTCTCATTAAATGAGAGGAACTCAAAAAATAAAAACTTTTAGTAAGACTAAATTTCATTCTAGGAGAATGGCCACCAGTCCTTACTGAGCAGCGATGATCAACTTTTTATTTATGAGACAGCTGGAGTGTTGATTGTTAATAGTGAATACCCGGCAGAAAGGAAACAAGCCTTAATGAGGAATTTGTTGACTCCACTAATGGAGAAGTTTAAAATTCTGTTAGAAAAGTTGATGCTGGCACAAGATGAAGAAAGGCAAGCCTCTCTAGCAGACTGTCTCAACCATGCTGTTGGATTTGCAAGGTAAGTGTGATCACAGTTAAAACTGTGAAGTGCATGTATCTACACAGACAGAACCACTTGTTTGATGGGCACACACATTTGTGTTTCCACAGTTGGATAGTCCAGAGAATTGTCTAAATCTTTGTCCTCCAAATCCAGTCGGTTAGATTCAGTTGAAGAAGGGGATAGATTACATACCATTTGCATTTTTGCCTTGACAGCTGTAAATCTTTAACCCCTCTGACTTCTTTGGTATAAATGGGTTGTGTGTTTAAGGGGATCAGCTAAAGAGTTAATATACTAAAGATATATTGGGATGGGATGTCTTTGGTTAGTCTTGGTTACTTGAAGAGAAGAACCTGAGGTTTCTCTTTAGTTGTTTTGTGTCCTGAAGACCATCCAAGCAGCTATTTTTTCCCCCTCTACCCATACTTTTTGTTGACAAACAATAAACAGTGGCATGAAAGTTGTAAAGAGTGCTAATTAGAAGTTAAATTATTCTATAATATACTTAAGAACAAGAGCTAGATATTAGAAAGTTGTATAAATAATTCTGAAGATAGTTTTCTAAATTTAAATGAGTAGTTTGCAGATTACCTAGTACAGCCTAGTCATGACGAGTGGATTTGTTTTCTCTTTTCTGTCTACTTTGTCAATAGGATTTTTCTCTTTCTTTTTCTTTTTTTTTTTTTTTTTTTTGTGGGAGACAGTCTCGCTTTGTCACTCAGGCTAGAGTGCAGTGTTGTGATCTCAGTTCACTGCAACCTCCGCCTCCCAGGCTCAAGTGATTCTTGTGCCTCAGCTTCCAAGTAGCTGGGATTACAGGCATGTGCCACCACACCCAGCTAATTTTTCTATTTTTAGTAAAGACAGGTTTTCACCATGTTGTCCAGACTGGTCTTGAACTCCTGGCCTCAAGTGATTTGCCTGCCTCAGCCTCCCAAAGTGCTGGGATTAGAAGCATGAGCCACAATAGCCAGCCCAGTCAATAGGATTTTAATAAAACATTTAGGTAGACTCACATTAGAAGGATTATATTAACTCCATGTCATTCATTTAAATTAATTTGAGCTCTTTTGTTCTGGAAAGATAATTGGAAGCAGTAGTTTACAAATAGCCATATTAACTAAAGATGGAAGTAATTGTGATGTGGAAAATAAAGGTCTGGTTATTTAGTTTTGTTAATTTTGTAATTTGTTGTGTGTTGCTTTTGAATACTCCATAACGCTTTCAAAGAATAAAGTTACATCTGATTGCCTGATTTTTGCTTATATAGTCGAACCAGTAAAGCTTTCAGCAACAAGCAGACTGTGAAACAATGTGGCTGTTCCGAAGTTTATCTGGACTGTTTACAGACATTCTTGCCAGCCCTCAGTTGTCCCTTACAAAAGGATATTCTCAGAAGTGGAGTCCGTACTTTCCTTCATCGAATGATTATTTGCCTGGAGGAAGAAGTCCTTCCGTTCATCCCATCTGCTTCAGAACATATGCTCAAAGATTGTGAAGCAAAAGATCTCCAGGAGTTCATTCCTCTTATCAATCAGATTACGGCCAAATTCAAGGTACCGCAAACCTTCAGAGCTCTGAAAATCTCTTGAAGATCAGATGTACTTATCTTCAGACATGTTTTGGATTTGCCCTTGGGTTTCTTTCTTTTTTTTTTTTTTTTTAAATGAATTACTTGAGAGCATCATGGATCATATGTATTTTTATCATCTGTCGTGTTTGGCACACTGCCTGATACATAGGTCATGCTTAATAGATGTTTGAATATAAACAGACCCTGTATGCTTTGTGTAGCAAAAGAAAACAACTAGTTGGCTGTTTTAGAAGAGCATATAAAAACAGTACACTGAGTACTAAATGTCTAAAGAAATAAGAAGCACCATAATTTGGGTACCCAAGCAAGGGTTAAAAGTAATTCAATGTATTAAAGTCAGTTTTCTGTAGGACATTTAAACTGGCTAATAAAAGTTGTTAATACTTACATAGTACTTCTTTTTTTCTTTTTTCTTTGTATGGAGATAATCTCGCTCTGCCACATAGGCTGGAGTGCAGTGGCGCAGTCACGACTCACTGCAACCTCTACCTCCCAGGTTCAAGCGATTCTTGTGCCTCAGCCTCCTGAGTAGCTGGAACTATAGGTGTATGCACCACACCAAGCTAATATTTTGTACTTTTAGTAGAGACAGCGTTTCCCCATGTTGGCCAGGCTAATCTCGAACTCCTGACCTCAAGTGATCCTCCTGCCTCGGCCTCCGTAAGTGCTAGGATTACAGGCATAAGCCACCACACCTGGCCACTTACATAGTACTTTCTATGTTCAAAATCTGTTCTAAGCACTTTTTGTACATTTACTTACTTGATTTTCATACCTACCCTAGAAGATAGGGATTATATGTTATAGTTGAGGAAACTGAGGCATGGAGAAGTTAATGGATTTGCCCAAGAGTTCATAAAACTCAAGAGTTCATTTGTAAGCAAGCACTGAGGACGTTATTAAACGATGTTTTTTACCTTTGTTCCAAAAAAAAAAAAGAAAACCCTAAGAGTTGACATATAAACTGATTTATAGTTTAGCAAAACAATTCATTTTTTGAGAATTTAATTTTGAAAATATTCCATGGCAATATTTTATTGTGAAATATGTCTATAATTTTAACCTAAATCTGAATCTGTAGGAAAGGGTTTAAATTGAATGATCTTGGGTCTTCTAGTAATATTTTTTAAGGTTTTTCTCCCCCACCTTGAAATGGAGTCTTGCTCTGTTACCTAGGCTGGAGTACAGTGGTGCGATGTTGACTCACTGCAACCTCCACCTCTCAGGTTCAAGCAATAACCCTATGTCAGCCTCCTGAGTAGCTGGGACTGGGATTACAGGCGCTCGCCACTACACCCAGCTAGTTTTTGTATTTTTAGTACAGATGGGGTTTCACCATGTTGGGCAGACTGGCCTCGAACTCCTGACCTTAGGTGATTCACACGCCTTAGCCTCTCAAAGTGCTGCGATTACAGCTGTTAGCCACTGCGTCTGGCCTAGTAATGTTTATGTTATATAGATTTTATCTTAAAATTGATATTTGCTAACTGAATTATGTACGTATGCATTCTAAATAGAAAAGAAAGGCTTTATGTAAAATAGTTTTTTTAAGTTGTATATTAGTATTGTTACTAATTGCTGAAGTAATGATTGTTTATTTTCAGATACAGGTATCCCCATTTTTACAACAGATGTTCATGCCCCTGCTTCATGCAATTTTTGAAGTGCTGCTCCGGCCAGCAGAAGAAAATGACCAGTCTGCTGCTTTAGAGAAGCAGATGTTGCGAAGGAGTTACTTTGCTTTCCTGCAAACAGTCACAGGCAGTGGGATGAGTGAAGTTATAGCAAATCAAGGTGGGGACGCATGCCATGTCCAATTAGTCTGCTTAAGTCTGTGTCACTGTTGTACACCTGTATGACCAAGAGCAAACTGAAGTAAATACAGAAATTTTGAAGTTTGTTGTCCCATGGGAAGACAGTTTATTGTTTTCAGGGTGGGAATTGATCACTTTTATGTAAAGCACCCAAAATTAATTTGTATTCTGTTCCCTTTTTCTTTATGCAATATTTTTTAATTTGGTTCTTTAGCAATATAAATAACATGACTACTTACAGAATTGACCTGACAATTGAGTCTTTATGGCAAATTTGCCATTTTGAAATATAAAATAAATGGAGCTGTATAGATTTTTGTGGAGAATTCTGTATAGGAAATTCAGGGAACAAGATACCAAGGGCAAACTGTTTTTTGGTGGTTTTTTTTTTAAATTTAATTTAATTTTATATGTGAGATAGGGTCTCACTCTATTGCCCAGGCTGGAGTGCAGTGGTATGATCACGACTCATTGCAACCTCCACCTCCTGGGCTATCCTCCCATTTCTACCTCCTGGGCTATCCTCCCATTTGTACCTCCTGCGTAGCCAGGACCATTGGCACTTGCCATAATGCTGGGCTTATTTTTTGTAGAGATGGGATCTCACCATGTTGCCCAGGCTGGTGTCAAACTCCTGGGCTCAAGCAATCTTCCTCAGCCTCGCAAAATGCTGGAATTATAGACAGGAGCCACCACGCCCAACTGATTTTTCAGTGTTTAATGTTTAAACTTTAGGTGCCCAGTTAATAAAAATCAAGGGATTTTGGCAACTCTGTAAATGCTTTTTTCCCCCCTTCATTTTTCCCATTCCACCTGTAAATGATTTTTCATATACATTAGTATATGAAAAGAGAACTTCAGGTTGCTTTCCTAGTTAATTTTGGAAATTACTTAAACTAAAGTTTTTCTTCTCAGGTGCAGAGAATGTGGAAAGAGTGTTGGTTACTGTTATTCAAGGAGCAGTTGAATATCCAGATCCAATTGCACAGAAAACATGTTTTATCATCCTCTCAAAGTTGGTAGAACTCTGGGGTAAGATGATTTTATTTCTTAACCTTCGTTTCCCAAACTCTTTCATAAAACTCTTAGAGATGAAATGGAATGTAGCCCTAACAGAGAGAGAAACTGGGAGTTGGTTTTCCCTGGTGATGAATTAATTGACTTACTTTTATATATAAGATGAAAATTTGAATTCTCTTGACAGGAGGTAAAGATGGACCAGTGGGATTTGCTGATTTTGTTTATAAGCACATTGTCCCCGCATGTTTCCTAGCACCTTTAAAACAAACCTTTGACCTGGCAGATGCACAAACAGTATTGGTAAGCACCTAGGAATCTTTGTTTACCTTGTGTAGCTCTCATATATTCCCAATTTCTTCTTTAATGCCAGGTTGATTATATTATGTTTCATTGAATTTTTTTTTTAATTTAGTGATTTCAGATCAGGGTTCATTTTTTTTAGATTTATGATACCTTCTGGAGTTTTTATGAATTCTTTTTGAATCCCAATGCTACTGCTGAATTTTACAAATTCTGCTCCTTCAACTTTAACACCTGACTTTTTCTAGGACCATGAAAGGACATATGACACAAACATTCTTTCAAGTTTCAGTATTAGTTTCCTACTACTATTTTAAGTCTAAAACTTGCACCTAGTGGTTTTCCCTAATCATTAAGAGCATGAAATGGCAACTTGATCCTCCTTGTATGATAGTTTCCCCAAATCTCATCTTCACAATATTTAATGTCAATTTCCACTTTCTCACTTTCCCACAACCTGGTAAAAGCTAGATTTCGTAATTGTAATGTACTACGTTAAAACAACAGTTTGTATTTTTTTGGTTTTTTTCCTTTTTTTACTTCAACCCACTTAGTCCACCTGCCTGTTACCTTTCCTTCCTCTATCCCTTCTCTGGAGTTAAATATTTCTCTGGAAATATTTATTTGAATTTCCCTGGCAGTGGCCAGGATAGTAAAAAGAAGAGCTGGATCACTAAAACAAGAATTGAGTATATAGAAATTCTTAAACTTGTTTTTCACAGGCTTTATCTGAGTGTGCAGTGACACTGAAAACAATTCATCTCAAACGGGTAAGCCTTGTAGTCCATGCCCCTTCATTTTCATCTCGTGTGGTGTTATTATCTTGTTCTTGAAAGATGTATCTTGTGTAAAATTTAACTTCCGTTTTCACTTTTTTGGATGTGGGGAAAGGGGATGAATGAAAGTAGCAGTATTCATTTATTGTCCTTCATGTCTTAGGTAACATGTTTTGGTTTGACTAAGGATGTGAAAAATCTTAGCCAGAATTTCAAGATTCAGTTTTCACGATCTTGTAGGCTTCCTCACTACCAGAATTTTTACTTTATTTTTGTTTGTATTTGTTTTTTGGAGACTGAGTGCAAGCTGGAGTGCAGTGGCATGATCTTGGCTCACTGCGACCTCTGCCTCCCAGATTCAAGCAATTCTCCTGCCTCAGCCTCCCGAGTAGCTGGGATTACAGGCACCCGCCACCATGCCCGGGTAATTTTTATATTGTTAGTAAAAACAGGGTTTCACCATGTCGGCCAGAGTGGTCTCGAACTCCTGACCTCAAGGGATCCGCCTGCCTTGGCTTCCCAAAGTGCTGGGATTACAGGCGTGAGCCACTGCGCCCGGCCTATTTTTTATTTATTTATTTTTTGAGACAGGCTCTCCTCTGTCACTCAGGTTGGAATGCAATGTGCAATCTGGGGTCACTGCAACCTCCACCTCCTGGAGGCTCAACCGATCCTCCCATCTCAGTCTCCAGAGTAGCTGGGACCACACAGGTGCATGCCACCACACCCAGCTAATTTTTATATTTTTTGTAGAAATGGGGTTTCACCATGTTGGCCAGGCTGGTATTGAACTCCTGATCTCAAGTTGATCTGCCCACCATGGCATCCCAAAGTGCTGAGATTACAGGCGTGAGCCACTGTGCCCAGCCTTGCTTATTTCTTTAATATATATTTTACTTTATTTTTTGTGATAGGTTCTCCCTGTGTTACCCAGGCAAGAGTACAGTGGCATGATCTCAGCTCACTGCAGACCCAGCCTCCCAGGCTCAAGTACTGTTCCTACCTCAGCCTCCTGAATAGCTGGGAGTACAGGTGCACGCCACCACACCTGGCTAATTTTTGCGGTTTTTGTAGAGACCAGGTCTCACCATTGTGCCTAGGCTGGTCTTGAACTCCTGGACTCAAACATTCCTCCTGCCTTGGCTTCCCCAAGTGCTGCTATTACACCATGCCCAGCTGATTCTGGGTATTTGTAAATAGCTGGAATTGGTTGCCAACATTTAAAAATCTCAATATATTTTTTTAACCAAAAATTCCTTCCTCCAGCCTCTCTCAAAGCCATAGAATGCCAGCACAGGACTGGTATTGCCACATAGCTACAGCCAGCTAAAAAGCAGTAGTTGCCCTCACTCCCTATAAAGAACGTGAGCTTTTGCTCAGTGGTCTCCATTTAGCTGTGCACTCATTTGAACTTGATTTTTTGATTCTGATAGAGACTTGAAGTGTTTTCAGTTCAGCCGCATTTCCTCTATACTTGCTACCTGCAAGTAGGTGTGCAAGTGGGTGGGGTAGCTGTGTGTTTAGGGACAGCAGGGGAACTGTATAAAGATAAATAAAGCATCTCCTGATATTCTCCCTCAGAATCAAGGGAGACTAACACATAAAAAACTCTAGTGGTTTAAGTAGTACTTTAGTGGAGATAATATAAAATATTGTGGAACTAAAGCTGAACAGGCAAATTTTCCTGAGGGGGCAATCTAAGCAAGCTATAGGAAAGAGGTGATATTTTTGATGGCCCTTAAATGTAGATTGATGGAACTAATAGGGAGCTGGCATTCTGGGCAAAGTTAAGTAGGTGTACAAAGACAGATTAGATGTCACATGGTGGATTTGGTGGGAAGTTACAGACTTAACTCTGTTTAGCTAAAGTATGGAGGCAGAAGTGATAGCTAAAAAATAAGATGAGACTAGATAGACAAAAGCCTTGTGTTAACATGTGTAGAGTTGGGAAGTCAGTAGGCAGTTGGTTTGTAATTTAGGAGGGAAAGTGTTCAGAACATTGGGTCTGAAGCAGTTAGAATTAAATACTGATTTTGGAGTCCTCAGTGTAAGTCAGTCAAAGTAAAGCCATAGGAATGACTGAGACTTTCTAAGACCAGAACAGAAAGAACTTTGGCTCAAGCAAGAGTCAACAAAAAAGTAGAACCAGATAGCCAGTTGTGGTGGTGCACGCCTGTAATCCCAACTACTTGGCAGGCTGAAGCACAAGAATTGCTTGAACCCAGGAGGTGAGGTTGCAGTGAGCTGAGATCATGGCACTGCACTCTAGCCTGGGCAACAGAGTGAGACTGTCTCAAAAAACAAAAACAAAACAAAATGAAAAAGTAGAACCAGAGGTAGGAGCATTGTGAAAGACAAGGGAAGACAGTCTCAAGAGGGGAGATTGGATGGCATTGTTTGGATGCTAGACAGTCAAAGTGGATGTGGATGAGGAATGAAAGGAAACAGTAAGGATGGTATTTCTAGTTCGGAAGTATTTGTTTTATCGATAGAAGTGTTAATTTAAACATACAGAATTGAGTCAAACAATATTATATTTAAAGTGTTTTGCTTCAAAATCAAAAAGAAAAAAATGTTTTGCTTCATTGTTCTATTTTCTCATTCTTTTGACTGACTTGAGGTATAAGTTTACTTTCCCTGATTCAAAACAAGCAAAACTACACTTTTAAAAAGTGGTAACAGTGAGGTTACAAAGTGATGAACATTGCATAGGAAGCAATGGTACATAGACAGGGTAGACGTAAGAAAAAGATGAGAAGGAAAGTAGGAGGGATCTGGGAAACAGTGCAGGGTTACTGCCTCTCAGTTAAAGACAGGTTTCCTGTGATGGGTCATTAAACTGTGACCTAGATCCAAGGTGAAGGAGGAAACATAAATCCTTTGATTCAGGAGCACTAATATTAAACAGGAATTCCAGGTGTTAGTGCAATGAAGAGTCCATCAAGGAGAGATACATTGATTTTTTTTTTTGAGACAGTGTCGCTCGGTCGCCCAGGCTGGAGTACAGTGGCATAATCTCAGCTCACTGCAGCCTGTGCCTGCCAGGTTTAAGTGATTCTCCTGTCTCAGCCTCCTGAGTAGCTGGGATTACAGGCATGTGCCATGATGCCCGGCTAATTTTTTTCTATCTTTGGTAGAAACAGGGTTTCACCATGTTGGCCACACTGGTCTGGAACTCCTGACCTCAAGTGATCCACCCACGTCGTCCTCCCAAAGTGCTGGGATTACAGGCGTGAGCCACTGCACCTGGCCAAGAACCTTATTTTTCAGATGGAGAAACCAAGGCTCAGAGAGGTTAAGTAACTTGTCCAAGTGCAGCAAACCACCAGGGCACATGTATGCCTATGTAACAAAACTGCACGTTCTGCACATGTACCCCAGAACTTAAAGTATAATAAAAAAAAAAAAAAAGAAAGAAAAAAAAGAAAAAGTTGCCAGAGCCAGGCTTCAAACCAAGGCAGTCTGGCTCTGGAGTCTGTGTTCTTAAGCACAATATTATGTTGCCTTTAAAGTGTACATGTATTGTTCCAATTCTTTTTAAGCTTATTAATGTCAAGCAAGAAAACAGTTTTAAGTATCTTTTAATCTTCAGGGCCCAGAATGTGTTCAGTATCTTCAACAAGAATACCTGCCCTCCTTGCAAGTAGCTCCAGAAATAATTCAGGTAAGAGCTGTTTCTTACCATTGTGTAGGCGAGCAATCACAGTAGTAGCAGTATTGCCTGTGACATTGTCGCCAGCAGAAATCACAAATATTTTCATATTACATAAGTTGTTGCCAGTATCTGAAAATACTGTTTATGCTTATCACCATTTTGAAATTGAGTTACTAAGTAATATCACTACACCTTGTTATCTAACAAGTTAATAAGTCCTTACTGTTCTACCATACTTTAGTTTGATAACCATTGTTCAGTATAATTGGCTTCTGTCGTAATCCCATGTATTATGTTTTATGCATTTAAAAAAAAAAACATTCTAAAGGAGCCAGTAGGCTTTTCCAGACTGCTGAAGGGGACCACAGCAGAGTTCTGAAGCTTTGTGCCAGGTAGTTCATTATGTGTACACCAAGTTTATCAAGGCTTAATCTGTAAATCTGAAACTGTATTTTGAGAAAAGTGTCTGGAAAGTGACCTTATACTTTTAAGAAGTCATTTGTATAATATTGTTTCTTGGCATATAATTTTCCAGATTTCTTGTCCAGTAGTACATGGAGTTAATGAAGTATCAAACTTTTGATTAAAACTAGAATTACAATCTCTTATGTAGATTGCAAAATTTGTTTCTTCATCATTAGTGTTTTTATTGTAAGAACACTTACATGAGAAATATACCATCTTAACAATTTTTACGTGCACAACACAGTATTGTTAATTATAGGGACAGTGATGTACCTGTAAAATATAGGTGGATCTCTAGAACATATTCATCTTGTATAACTTAAGACTTTATGCCCGTTGATTAGCAATTCCCATTTCCCACAGCCCCCATCTCCTGGCAACCACCATTCTACTCTCTGATTCTGTGAATTTCACTACTTTAGATACCGAATATAAGTGGAATCATACAGTTATGTCTCTTTTTGTGACTGGCTGTTTCACACAATGTGTTCTAGGTTCATCCATGTTGTTACATATGTCAGGATTTCCCAATTTTTTAAGGCTGAATAACATGCCATTGTATGCATATATCACATTTTCTTTATGCATTAATCCACTGATAGATTCATTTGGGATTATTTTCACATCTTGGCTATCTTAAGTGCTACAGTTAACATGGGAGTGCAAATATGTCTTTGAGATGCTGATTCCAATTCTTGTAGATAAATACCCAGAAGTGGGATTGCTGGATTATATGGTAGTTCTACTTTTAATTTTGTGAAGAAACCTCTTACTATTTTCTATAGAGGCTGTATACCATTTTGCATTTCCGTCAGTTGTGTAGCAGGGTTCCAATTTTTCCACATCCTCACCAATGCTTGTTGTCTTTTGTTTTTTTATAATAGCCATTCTAATAGGTCTGAGGTGATATTGTGGTTTTGATTTGCATTTCCCTGATGATTAGTGATGTTTGAACATCTTTTCATATACCTGTTAGCCATTTGTATTTGGAGAAGTCTATTCAAGTCTTTAGCCCATTTTCTAATCAAGTTATTAAGTTTTTTGCTATTGAATTAGAGGAGCTTTTTATATTTTAGAAATTAACCCCTTATCAGATAAATGGTTTGCAAATATTTTCTCCCTTTCTTGAGCTATTCCAGAGGTTGCCTTTCTGCTGTGTTGATTGCTTACTTTATGGTGCAGAAGCTTCTTAGTTTGATGTAGCCCCACTAATGTAGCTTTTCATGATATCAATGAAATTATTTCCAAGACCAGCATCTTGAAGCTCTTCTATGTTTTCTTCTAGTTTTGCAGTTTGGAGACTTTATATAAAGACTTTAATACATTTTGAGTTGAGTTTTGTGTATGGTGTTAGATAAGGGTCTCGTTTTCTTTTGCACATAGATATCCAGCTTTACCAGCGCCATTTGTTGAAGAGATTATTGTTTCCCCGTTGTGTATTCTTAGTACCCTTGTTGAAGATCAGTTGACTATATGCAGGGTTGATTTTCAAATTCTATTTTGTTCCATTGGTTTGTATGTCTGTCTTAAAAGAGACAGGGTCTCACTCTGTTGTCCAGACTCAAATGTGGTGGCACCATCATAGCTCACAGCAACGACAAACTCCTGGACTCAAAGAATCCTTCTGCGTCTGCCTCTGCCTCCCAAGTAGCTAGGATATATGTCTGTCTTTTGCTGTTACCATACTGTTTTCATACTGTAATATTAAAATATATTGTGAAATCTGGAAGTGTAGTACATCCAGCTTTGCTCTTTCTCTGGATTGTTTTGACTATTCAAGGCCTTTTGTGATTTTATGTAAATTCTAGTTTTGTTTTTTCTATTTCTATAAAATATGCTCTTGGAACTTTTATATGGATTGCCTTGAATCTATACATTGCTTTGTTTTTGTTTTTGGAATGATTAAGAAGCTTTTTAAAATTTTTTAAATTTATTTTTATTTTTTTGAGATGGAGTCTTGCTTTAGCGCCCAGGCTGGAGTGCAGTGGCATGATCTTGGCTCATTGCATGCAACCTCCGCTTCCCAGGTTCAAGTGATTCTCGTGGCTCAACTTCCTGAGTAGCTGGGATTACAGGCAGGCACTACCATGCCGGGCTTATTTTTGTTTTTGCTTTTTTTAGTAGAGACCAGGCTGGTCTCGAACTCCTGACCTCAGTGATCTTCCCACCTTGGCCTTCTAAAGTCTCGGGATTACAGGTGTGAGCCACCTTGCCTGGCCATTAAGAAGCATTTTGTTGACCTGATGGAATAGCGATATTCATTTAGCAGCTCAGTTTTATATACTCTTTCCCCTGTGTCGTTTTACATAACATGTAAAGGTGGGGAGGAGGGCCCTTTTATTGCAAAGACATTTCCAGAGTCGTCATCTTTTTCTTTCTCTTTTTTGAGACAGTCTTGCTCTGTCGCTGAGACTGGAGTGCAATGGCATTATCTCTGCTCACTGTAACTTCTGCCTCCCAGGTTCAAGCAATTCTCCGGCCTCAGCCTCCCAAGTAGTTAGGATTACAGGCGCCCACCACCACGCCTAATTTTTATATTTTTAGTAGAGACGGGGGGTCACCATGTTGGCTAAGCTGGTCTTGAACTCCTGACCTCAAGTGATCCGCCGGCCTCAGCCTCCCAAAGTGCTGGGATTACAGGCATGAGCCATTGCACCTATCCAGAACCAGGGGCTTTTCTGTGACCAAGGTAAACCCTTATCAATTACCCTAGCCCATAGTGGCCTTGGATCTTACTGCTAGGCACTGGCTTTCAGTGTTGCTTTGTACTTCCCTGTCTTCTCCTTGGGTAATGCCACTAGGCCTGGGTAGGACGCCTGCCCTTTCACTTCATGGGTAGATTCCCATAAGAACTACTTTGAAGGCCAAAACGAGATGGGTGAGAGAGCTGCTTTTTCTCCTGCTCTCCTTTCTTGTGTCCTCATTCTTGCCCATGATTTTTTTGATGTGTTCCATGATCTCCTTATTCATCTTGATCTCTATATCCACCAGGACCTGCTCTTCATAATATAAATAGAATTGTAGGAAGGGTGATGGTATTGTGTTCTCAAACATCATGATCTGCATCCAAGGGTTTTTTGTTTGTTTGTTTGAGATGGGGTCTTGCTGTAGTCTTGCTCTGTCGCCCAGGCTAGAGTGCAGTAGCATGATCTCAGCTCACTGCAGCCTCCGCCTCCCGCGTTCAAGTGAATCTCCTGCCTCAACCTCCCGAGTAGCTGGGATTACAGGCGACGGCCACCGCACCCAGCTAATTTTTGTATTTTTAGTAGAGACAGGGTTTCACCATGTTGGCCAGGCTGGTCTCGAATTCCTGACCTCGTGATCCACCCACCTTGGCTTCCCAAAGTGCTGGGATTACAGGCGTGAGCCACTGTGCCCCATCCAAGGGTTTTGTTTTTTTTTTTTTGATCTGAGAAATAAATTTCCTGGTACCCTCACCCAGCTGCCCAGGTGTGTTATAATTCACTGTTAGACCTTCACCAACTCCCTGAACACTACTACATCACCCTGGTCTGGGTACTGCAGAAGGGGAAGGGCCCCTTCACAGGTGGTGGCAGTCAGACACCAAAGAGGAGTAAGAGAACAGCAGACACCACTTCTCCTCAGCAGATTGCTTTGGGTAGTGAGGACATTTTAACAATATTAAGTCTTCAGTCCATGACACAGCTGTCTTTCAATGGTGTTTTTTTGTTTTTATTTTGAGACAGGGTCCTCACTGTTGCCCAGGCTAGTGTGCAGTGGTGCGATCTCAGCTCACCGCAACCTCTGCCTCTCAGGTTCAAGCAGTTCTCCCACCTAAACCTCCCAAGTAGCTGGGACTACAGGTGTGTGGCACCACACCTGGCCAATTTTTGTATTTTGGGCAGAGATGGGGTTCCACCATGTTGGCCAGCCTGGTCTTGAACTCCAGACCTCAAGTGATCCAGCCACTTCAACCTCCCAAAGTGATGGGATTACAGGCATGAACCATTGCGCCCAGCCTCAATGGTGTTTTTTTGAGGCTTTTATAATGCTGTTTTTCCAAAAATAAAATAGATCTCACATGAGTTTAAAAAATGAATTTAACTCATTTTTAATGAATTTGTGATCTCTTACTTAACAATATACCACCTTTAACTTTAGAGATATTAATGACTTTCTTGGTTATCATTTGTTACATAAGTAAACTAGTATTTTAATGAAAATAATTATTAATTATTCTTGTGATCTTAGTGCTCACCAAAAGTAGAACTAGACCATTCAGTTTACAGCTAATCTTCTTCCAGATTGCTAAATGAAGCAAAATTATTTTTCTATTTAGTAATTCATTATGAAAGATAAGGAACCTCAGTTTTCCATTTTTAATATGCCTTATGTCTGACAACACATTTTGCAGAATATTCCCTATTAGAATTCTCTTTTTCTTTTGGTCTTGCTCTGTTTGGTTATCCCTCTTACTAGATGTGAGCAGCCATAGCAATGTAGTTTTTGTCCCACTCTTATCAGGCATGAGTCCACCTTGTCTAGGAGAGCTATGTTCTCAAAAGTGAAATCAGCCTGTTTGACAAGTACTAATATTTGAAAATGCTATAAACCTCTTGTGGTGAGATACTGTTTGAATTGATCTTGATAAATTAAATACTATGAATTTGAAGCAACCTTAAATTCCTTTGACAGAAAAATAAACAAAATATGGTATATATACACAATAGAATATTAAGCCTGATTTATAAAATAATCCTGTCATATGCTATAATGTGGATGAACCTAGAGGACGTTATGCTAAATGAAATAAGGCAGTTATTAAAAGACAATGCTATATGATTCCATTTGTTTGAGATATCTAAAGTAGACTCACCAAAGCAGAAAGTGGTGGTTGCCAGGGGCTGGAGCAGGGGAAAATGGGGAGTTCTTCAGTTAAGAGGCAGAAAGCAAGCTTGTTTTGCAAGATGTAAAAGTTCTAGAAACCTGTTGTACAATAGTGTGCATGTAGTTAATGCTACTGTACCGTACATGTAAAAGTGGTTAATGTGATAAGTTTTAAGTGTTTTTACAGCTTTTTTAAAAAAAGAGCCAGGCACAGTGACTTATACCTGTAATTCCAGCTTCTTGGGAGGCTGAGGTGGGAGTGTCCTTTGAGCCTAGGAGTTGGAGGCTGCAGTGAGCTATGATCACACCGCCGTACTCCAGCCTAGATGACAGAGCAAGACCATCTCTTAAAAAAAATTTAAAAAAAAAAAAAGTGGATATGAATTACAATGGATTTAATACGAATACATTTGTTCTTTCTCCCTCTTTTCCCCACCCCCCAGGAGTTTTGTCAAGCGCTTCAGCAGCCTGATGCTAAAGTTTTTAAAAATTACTTAAAGGTAGGTATTTGCGAAGCTCACGTATCTTCATACAATTAGGTAATGTTTGAGAGCCAAGAGAGAATATGTATCTGCAATTATAGATGTTTATGTGAAGTCCCTTTTAACTAAGCTGTTGCAAAAGATCGTAAGTTAGGTAAGCACACTGAATGTGTACACCTTTGATTATATTGGTGAGAAAATGCCAGTTTTATTTTATAGTTTCATGATGTAATTAAATAGAAACTAGAGGCATTACGAGAATAAGAAATGTTCAGGAACAGTTGTCTACATTAAGTTGAAAAGAAGGGGCTAAAAATATAAAAACAGAAGAAGGAGATACTTGCTTATATCCTATTTTGAAACATTTGAACTGTAAAACATACAAAAACGAGAATCCTCAGATTTGGGCCATCAAGCCTCCTTTTACATTTACGAAATTACTGATTTTTTTTTTTTTAACTCTGTAAATCAACAAAAAGTGTCACATGTTTATTTGGTATTCATAGTTATAATTAAGTTCATGAGATGAAACTGTCTTGGTCTTACCTTAGGTAGTCATTCATTTCATACATCATGACTGCTTTTTATGTACCAAGTACTACAGTAATGGCTGCAAATACAACTATGAGTAATTTTCCCTCCCCATAAGGAGCTCATGATCTAGAAATAAAGTTAGTGTGACAAGATGAATTGTTTATTTTTTATTATCTTCACTCAGATAATTTGAAGACAAAGCACTATATTAAATTCAGTAGCAGGTAACTTAGTGTAGCACCTGGTTCTTTTGGTGAAGACATTCAGTGGAATTTGTAAATCAAAGGGCTCTGCACAGAAGTGTGTCATCCTTTGACTGTGTTTCTAACATCTTCCCTTGTCAGTTTTTTCTTAGTTGTAGTTCGTCAGCTTAAACATCTCAGAGAGTTTGTGTGGAAGAATATTGAGGGCTTTTTTTTTTTTTTTTTTTATCATTGGGAACCCTCCCCTTCGCCATCCTCCCATAAAAAAGCAAAGTGCCTATGCGAGTAACCCCTGTTGAATAACTGATCAGTCAAACTGAATTTAAGGACTCAATCCTCACTATTACAGGTGTCTGTAACAGTAGATCTAGGTACCCTGTAGAAGGCTTGTTCTCCAGATGTGGTTATTCATCGGCATAGCATTTGTAAAAAGTCTTCCTTCTGGGCCCAACTTCTCTTCAGTGATGACATTATCTTAGTGATCATAACTATCTCAGTATTAGCATTATTATTCTAGTTGGAAAAAATGAATTTCATTCTTTTGTGCTCATTCCTCCCTTCACATCTGATTGATCCTCAGATCTTGCAGATTCTTTTCTCATCCTCTCTTCTGTCTCTGCTGCTCTGGTGTAGGCTGATGTTATCTTACTCTGATCTCTCTTCTCTTGTTCTAGCCAGGCTGATGTGTTTGACTCTTCAAATAGTCCTTTGATATTTATTCACCTTCCTCATAATCTTCCTAAACAAATTCATGTTTCTCAGTTTGGCACTTAATTTTTTTTTCGAATTCTGACCTGAGACTACCTTTCTGTTTTTTCTTGCAGAAATGGTCTTTACTGTTCTTGTAGTTCTTCAAAAATCCTGCCTTAATAGCAGCCCAACTTCTGTGTGAACTGTACCCATTTTTCTATGTTTGCCTTAAGCATGGTCTCCTTGTAAGGTTTTCTTTTGCCTATATAGTGATCATTCTTTTCCCTGCACATAGTCAGTAGATTATCTGTTAAATGAATCTCCTGGGTACTAGGGCACTATCAATACTGTTCTTGCCTGTATTAGTCCATTTTCACGCTGCTGATAAAGACATACCCGAGACTGGGCAATTTACAAAATAGGTTTATTGGACTCACAATTCCACATGGCAGGGGAGGCCTCACAATCATGTTGGAAGGCAAGGAGGAGCGAGTCACATTTTACGTGGATGGCAGCAGGCAAAAAGAGAGCTTGTGCAGGGAGACTCCCATTTTTAAAACCATCAGATCTCGTGAGACCCATTTACTATCAGGAAAACAACATGGGAAAGACCTGCCCCCATGATTCAATCATCTCCCACCCGGTCCTTCCCACAACACATGGGAATTATGGGAGCTACAAGATGAGATCTGGGTGGGGACACAGGGTCAAACCATATCATTGTCCTTACTGAGAACAGTGAATTATGTCTGATGCTCACCTGACCTGCTATGGATGGCAGTGTGTAGTACTAGGCCATGCCTAGCACAGCCTCTAGCCAATTCCTTTGTAGTCTCAAATTTTGACTTGGAAGTACTTTTGAATCATCAAATAAATAGTAAATTCCTCATGGGGTTAGAATTGCTGTGTTTAGCTTTGACTTGTTTCCTCCTCAAATTTTATTTATTTATTTATTTTTGAGACGGAGTTTCGCTATTGTTGCCCAGGCTGGAGTGCAATGGCACGATCTCGGCTCACCACAACCTCCGCCTCCTGGGTTCAAGTGATTCTCCTGCCTCAGCCTCCCGAGAAGCTGGGATTACAGGCATGCGTCACCGCACCAGGCTAATTTTTTCTATTTTGAGTAGAGATGGGGTTTCTCCGTGTTAGTCAGGCTGATCTCAAACTCCTGACCTCAGGTGATCCGCCCGCTTCAGCCTCCCAAAGTGCTGGGATTACAGGCATGAGCCACCGCGCCTAGCCTCAATATGTAATTTACCAGTGTTAATTTTGAAATAGTACCAATCAGTAAAAAGGTGTCAAGAGCATGTTTTCTTCTGACCATTTGATTTCCATAGCATAGAGATAATACCATATTTTCACTACTTCCCCAGTTGGGTGATGTCAGCCTAAGTTATAGCTAGACTTACCAAATTCTCCAGAACAGAAAGTTCTTACCTTGGATTACATATGGATATATAAGGCATGTGAAATGTTCTAAATGTCTATCATATGTTACAAAAGAACACTGCTAGCACTCAGAAACTTGGAGCCATTCTTCAGGTGAAAGTGATGCCTTCTGACATTAGTATTGACTGCATTGATACTTTATTTACAGGTGTTCTTCCAGAGAGCAAAGCCCTAAGGACTGGATTTCCCTGTGCCTACTTCATGATCAGGAATTCCAGTTAGTGTATAAAGAAGCGATTTTTGTGTGCCATTCATGCTGGTCTTTTTCACACTGTTTTGAGCTTACTGCAGTATATGTTTTGGGATTTTTCTGTAAAATGGGTGTAATTTTCCTGACACAGGTATGTAACAACAAAAGAAGTTGCCTGCATGCCGGTCCAAATTGTTCTGTATAAAGATGCTCTTAAAAGATACAGTTATCCTAGAACCTTAATTCTTTTTTATTTGAAATTTTAAGTCAAGTCCTTTATAAAGACCATAGCAGTGGAAAACAGTGTACTTTTTAAAAAATTGCTGAATATAAAATGTTTGAAAATTTTCTTTATGTGTGAAGACACATAAAGTATGGGGGGAATACAACAATCAAAACTAACTTTTTGTAGATAGCCATTTCATTTCTTTAAACTGTTTCAATGCCAATATGTATTCTACAAAAGAGAATGGTTTTAGGCTCCAGTGTTATACTTTTTTTTATATATATATATATAAATAAATTTTACGTAGTGAAATCTACCAAGTCTTTTCTGGAATTATTGTAAATACTTTAGTTTTATTTTCATCTTAATCTCTCCCTAATTTCCCATTTAAAGGTTTACAAATATGAGTGTGTGGATGCTTTAATTCATTTAACCTCACTCCTCAAAGGTAACACGCAACTTAGTTCTGTTATATGAGAGTCTTTTTTTTTAATGTACTAGAAAAAGCCTATGTGAATCTGTTGATAGAATTTAAAATTCCAGGCCAGGCGTGGTGGCTCACGACTGTAATCCCAGCACTTTGGGAAGCCAAGGCAGGTGGATCATTTGAGGTCAGGAGTTTGAGACTAGCCTGGCCAACATGGTGAAACCCCATCTCTACTAAAAATACAACAGTTAGCCAAGTGCGATGGTGCACGCTTGTAATCCCAACTACTCAGGAGGCTGAGGCAGGAGAATCGCTTGAACCCAGAAGGCAGAGGTTGCAGTGAGCTGAGATTGTGCCACTGCATGCCAGCCTGGGCGAGAAAGTGAGACTCTGTCTCAGAAAAAAAAAGAATTTAAAATCCCAATTTATTTTCTAACTCTTTTATTGGATGTATTTAGAACACAGTATACCTATAGTATACCTATGTGTTTATTATGTTTGTAAATGGTAGCTAACATTTAATTACTAGAAGTACTTACCCTGCCTTCCTCCATTTTTATTCATAGCTACTTGAGAAAGCAAAAGGAAATAATAGTTATCAGTAGTATCACTGGAAAATTAAGAAGAGATGAGGGACAAAACTGAGCAGCAGAATTCATATAGACATTTAAGTTTAAATTCTAAAAGCTCAATTGAGATTTTCAGGGAGGGTGTGTTTTGCCCTTTGGCCTCATGAATGGGTTTCATGATGGGCTTCAGTGGCCTATAAACTCTGTAAAATTCTATTCTAAATTTTGCACATTTATTTTGTTCTGGTTAATTCCAGAAGACATTTCAAACATTTTTCTTAACATCATATAATAAAAGTACTTAACTAAATTGACAATTATAAAAATAAATCAGCCGGGCACGGTGGCTCACACCTGTAATCCCAGCACTTTGGGAGGCCGAGGTGGGTGGATCACAAGGTCAGGAGTTCAAGATCAGCCTGGCCAACATGGTGAAACCCCATCTCTACTAAAAATACAAAAATTAGCCAGGCGTGGTGGCGGGTACCTGTAATCCCAGCTACTTGGAGGCTGAGGCAGAGAATTGCTTGAACCCAGGAGGTGGAGGTTGCAGTGAGCCGAGATTGTGCCATTGCACTCTAGCCTGGGCAACAGAGAGACTCTCTCAAAAAATAAAATAAAATAAAATAAATAAATAAATCAGTGAAATGCACCTTATACTTTAATAAAAAATGTTTTCAGAAATAGATAAGTGAAAGCTGAGTGTTTCTTTGATAGGGTCCCCTGTACTATACGAGTGATAATTACAGCTATTGTAATAGTAGTAATTGTTAAACAGATACTAATGAGTAGCATAGCATAGTGGGTAAGAGTTTATATAGCACAGGCTCTAGAATCAGATTAAGTAGGTTCAAATACCAGTTCTGCCAGTAACTGGTTTAGAACCTTGGGCAAGTTAAATAATGTCTCCCAGCCTCAGTTTTCCTATTCGTAAAATGGGGGAAATAATGGTAGCTACCTCAAAACTCATTATGAATTCAATGAGTTAAACGTGAAAAGACTTATTGCAGTAGCTGGCACATAAAGACTTGATAGTAGTTTATATGGATGCTATCTCATATTAGCATATATGGAATTAATAGTGTATCACTATACTTTTTTTTTTTTTTTTTAATAGAGACCAGTCTGTCACCCAGGCTGGAGTGCAGTGGTGACATCATAGCTCACTGTAACTTCTAGCCCCATACTCTACTAATCTTCCTGCCTCAGCATCTGGATTAGCTGTGATCACAGGTGTGCACCACCACATCCGGCTACTTTTTTTCTTTTTTTTTTTGGCAGAGACAGGGTCTCTCTATGTTACTCAGTCTGGTCTCAAACTCCTGGCCTCAATCCTCCCACTGGCCTCACAATGTTGGGATTACAGGCATAAACCACTGCGCGCGGCCTGTACTATGCTATCAATTCCATATATGGGAAGGTGTTTTCCCGTTCGGAGCTCTTTAAAGCTCTGCAGAAGATTTACATGTGTTTATCGAGCTAAGAGAAATCAGGGCATGGAAATTGAGTAATAAAAATTAAACTCTTCATGTTATATAGTCATGCATAATTTCTATCTTCTTCTCTGAAGTTGCCTAGAGCACCATCACAGTTAGGAAACTTCCATCATGAATTTCCTTATTACCAAAAGCAAGTACCCAAATAATTGTCTCAGGAGAGGAAGGACAAACTGTTAACAAGCTGAAATATTTGGGGATTTGTGTGACTTGACTAGGGAACCACAGGGTTTTGTAATGCCTGATTTAGCCCTGTGCCTAACAGTTTATTTAAATCTTAATGCTAATGTTAACTGGTTCCCAGGTGGTTGACCTTATAAGAAAACACTGTGTGGTATTTTAATGTGGTAAATATGTGAATGAAGGCCTTTGGCTCAGTTAATCACTCCCACAACTTTGAGCTGTGGTTTTACTGGTGGAAGGAACTTTAACAGGTCTTCGCTCTTGTCATTAGATATCAGAGAACTGAAATTGGTTGGAATTGTAAGCAGTGAATAGATGCGTTGTTAGAATGATTCCATCACTTATACATTGTTTAAAATGCTAATAAAGTAACTTGCTTTGTAAGAACACATTAGAGTGGACTTTTGTTATCTCCATTGTGCATTTGATAAAACTGAGGCTTAGAGAGGTAAGAAACTTGCTTTTAAGTTAGTAATTGGCGGCCAAGACAGCAACCCTAGGTCTGTTCCATTCAAAAGCCTCTGAGCCACTCCTCATGACTTCCCGTTCATTCGTGTTTGCTGTAGTACTTACTCTGGGACACACCATCTTCCTCTTCCCCTCCACTCAGAAATGTAGCCCTAGATGAGCAGCGGTCTGTCTGCCCCCTCCTTACGTTGAGAAAAGCCTGTTTTGCTGTCCGTGGGCAGAAGGGACCCCTTCAGAAAGCTATTCCTTATTGGGAATAGCTGCTTGAGATTTTGACTGTACGAATATTGCAGGACCTAATTTTAGTATTTAGGTTTTAGTTCTTAAATTCTTAAGTTTAGAGTTAGATACTTCAAAACGGCCATTTTCCAAAATACCAAGAGGGAGTTAAATGAACATATTTACATTAAGAATTTAACGTCTTTCTGGGTGATAGGAAAATGAAAAAAAGAATGTAAAGTCTGAATTACTGTGAGACGATAATCTGGTTCCACTGCAGCCAAAGTGGGCCCTTAAAACAGAATCCATCCCTCCCGGCTCTGCCGGCCGTCTCTGCCTGCCCCCCAACGTGTCCCACGTTCTGCAAACCTGTAAATCGGGATGTAATCCCTTGTTCAGAGTCGGTCCGCCCCACTGTCGGCCGGCGCTCGGGGTAGGGGCGGGATTTGCAGTTGCGGGAATCCCAGTTATTGTGTTCGCTGCTCAGGGCTCCTCACTTCGCCTTTAGAGTAAAGGGGAGCGAGGGGAACAGTGGACGGGGTGTGTCTCCAGACATTCCCCTCATTCCGTGGCCTGGGAAGCCGACTCAGCAGTCGCCGCCGCAGCTGCGGTGGCTACCGGACGGGCCATAGACGTGCGCACGCGCACCCGCACCGGCGCGCCGGCCGTCGGTCACGTGGCCCCCGGCCAGGGCTTGCGAAGCCGGAAGTGTCCTGGGGCTCGAGGCCGCGGGAGCCCGCCGGCGGTGGCGCGGCGGAGACCCGGCTGGGTAAGTGAGACGGCCGCGGGCGGAGGGGCCGAGGCGGCGCGGGGCGCGGTCGGTCAGGCCTGCGCCTCCCGGCGGGGAGCGCTCCCGCCCCCTGTGGGAGGCTGGGATGCTGAGTCAGAGCGGGGGCGGGGGCGGGCGCACCGAGAAGCCCAGCACGACCCGAGGCCAAGCCATCCAGGACCCAGGCTGCGCGGACACTGCCTCTGGGGTGTGTGTCAGGGGCGGCCGTAGCGGGTGGAATGGTCGCGCGGGCCCTGTTCCCTGCATCCCCGCTCCTCGCCGCGCGGCCGGTCCTCGACCTGCATCCCGTCCGGCGGCTTTGGGCACAAAGAGGACGACTCCGTTACCGGGCCTGGGCCCTGGCCGCCCGGGGAGGCAGGGGCACCTCTTTCCCTTGAAGTTAGACTCGCTGTTTTCTACCCTCTTTCCGAGAGTCGACACACCTGGCAGTTTTTAAATGCATTGATTTTTCAGAGGATTAAAAAGAGACGTTTCCTTAGAGTTTTAGTGATGTTCTGTCCGCAGAGGTTGACTCACACCGGAAATTAGAAGCCTAAGATATGTTAAATATATGCCTATGAAATACGAATTCCCAGACGTTCCTTGCTCCTCGTCTACCTGACTTATGAGTTTAATTTGTAGTCTCTATCCCAGGTATTTTTAGTAGGTGGCCTCAAAACAACTCACAAGTAATTGCCAAATGTATAACCAAAGACAGGTCTTTTCCACTCTGGAAGCCCCAGTGTATGAATCACATAGGGGTAGAGTTTGGAAATCCTGGAACTTTGTCCTTAGGCTATGTTGTCAAACCTGTTTTCATCCCTCAGCAAATAGTAACTTTCGTTTTGGACGGTATAAGGAAGTAGACTGAACACGGCATCATCAGCAACATACTTGTGGAGTGCTTGCCTATATGCTTGTCAAAAATTTGGGACGATTTATATGGCAAGCACGTTGTGGGTGTGCTGAGTCATGTTTTAGCATGTTATTGTGGAGTTATTGGAAGATAGTTTCAGAAGATATTTCCCCTGACCACTATTGTGATTACTCTTAAACAGAAACTATAGTTTTGTATCTGCATAGAGAACAGATACCTTAGCTGATAAATATTTTTCTTATTATTCTGAAGGTACATACATATAGGTACCTAATGGTACTATTTGCCATTTATAGTTACATTGATTAGGGAAAGTTTTTCATTAGATAGTTGAGACGTTTATTATTGTATCGTAAATGAAATGTAATAACTGACAAATGTGTATTCCTTATTTGTGAAAAGGAAATCTTATTTTTATTACTTATTTCCAGTAGTCATATATAAAATTTATCTAAATTAGATGGGTGGTAAAATTATATAAAACTATCCCGCTGTATCTGTGATTGGTAAAATTGAGACCCCTGACCATTCTACATATTCCTAACCCAACTTGGGCATATTGGTGGTCATTAATTCATCACAGAATACCTACTCTAGCATACTACTTTTTGCTTTAACTTACTGTGGAGGGATATTAAAATCCATGATTTGATGACAGTACAGCAGGTTTAAGGGGGCATGGTAGGACTAGTGTTTATGCTATGTTAGCATACATCAATTTTAGTCCAATGTGGAGCTTGGATATTTTGTATACCTTGATAGATCCATAGCTTTTCAGTATTAAAGACGTGATAATACAGGCTACTTGATACGTTTATATATTTATACTTGGAGGTTGGAGAAACTATCCTTAATTTCAGAAGAGTTCGTAACTTTTCAGGAATAATAATTTTTGCACCTTTCCTTTATACTTGTCAAGTTCTGTGTAGATTGTGTAGATGAAATTTTAGCTTATGGAAATATTATGCAATGGCAACATTTGTTTTCATTAGTGTTTCCCTGCTCTGAAGGAAACAAAGTAATTTTTTCTATATTATATTTTACATTATTACTTTTCTTTTTTTTAAAACACCTTAAATTATGTCTTAAATTAGTCTTTCAAAACATTTGAAGGAGGTAAGTAACAATATCACTCTCACGGACAAAGACAAAATTAGAAGAGAAATAGGTGTTGTTTTTGTTTTTGTTTTTTTTTGAGATGGAGTCTCGCTCTTTCACCCAGGCTGAAGTGCAGTGGCGTGATCTCAGCTCACTGCAACCTCTGCCTGCCGGGTTCAAGCAATTCTCCTGCCTCAGCCTCCTGAGTAGTTGGAATTACAGGTATGCACCACCACGCCTGGCTAATTTTTTTGTATTTTTAGTAGAAGAGGGGTTTCTCCATATTGGCCAGGCTGGTCTCAAACTCCTGACCTTGTGGTCCGCCCGCCTCGGACTCCCAAAGTGCTGGGATTACAGGCATGAGCCACTGCACCCAACTGAGAAATAGATGTTTCTTTCAGCCCTGTGATAAGTTAATTAAATTGAATGTATGTCATTGGTTAATGTTTTTTTTTTTCAAAGCTCACACAACATTTTAGCCTTGAATATTGCTAGAAACTTAGATTTTTTTTTTTTTCCTTTTGAGATGGAGTCTTGCTGTGTCACCCAGGCTGGAATGGGGTGGCACGATCTGGGCTCACTGCAGCCTCTGCTTCCGGGTTCAAGTGATTCTCCTGTCTCAGCCTCCCGAGTAGCTGGGATACAGGCGCCTGCCACTATACCCATCTAATTTTTGTATTTTTTCTGGAGACAGGGCTTTTCTATGTTAGCCAAGGTCTCAAACTCCTGGCCTCAGGTGATCTGCCCGCCTTGGCCTTCCAAAGTGCTGGGATTACAGGCATGAGCCACTGCTGTCAGCTGAAATGCAAATTTTTTTTTGTCATATTATTGTATTTTATTATAGTATGTGTAGTGTATACTAACTTAAAGGGAAACAATGTAATCAAAATGATGATCATGGGGAAAATGGCATCTTGCTTTAATCTTCAACTCAAAGTTACTCTTAATAATCCGTTTATACCATTATGTCAAATTTTAGTCATCCCTGCAGAATTTTAGACAAATGAAAACAGACAAGGTGACACCAAAGAGTTAAGCACAGAAAGTGATATTGATTAAAAAGTTGAAAGTAAAAATCTACCTTGGCTAGAACTGAACATTCAGATCCATCTCTCCAGAGGAAAATCTAACTTGAATCATAATGGTTCATATTTTGACTAGTTTATACCATATCAATTAGCAACTTATGACTTGAAAATACTTTGAAACTTAGATATTTATATTGAACTGTTTATACACTTCAGCAACAGATAATGGGTGATCTTACTTGAGACTAAAAACAGCTAACATTTGTTTCTTAACTGTGTTACTCCCTTAAAACATATTTGCAAATTTGTTTTTTCTCTTAGTATAACAAGAGGATTGCCTGATCCAGCCAAGATGCAGAGCACTTCTAATCATCTGTGGCTTTTATCTGATATTTTAGGCCAAGGAGCTACTGCAAATGTCTTTCGTGGAAGACATAAGGTTGGTACAGAGAAAACTTTGAAGACCTTTTATCACTGTATGTATTTTGTTCTGAGATGCATGCTTATGCTAAAATGTGTGACTTGGTGATTTTGATCCCTTTGTCTGAAGAAATTGTTTTAATGATTTTTGTGGTTATTTAAGGCATAGCTGTGTCAGGCAGTGAACTATCTACCCAGTGGTGGCAGAGATTAAGTGTTAGTGAGTGGAGGGAAACAGATTGGTTGAAAATGGACTGGGGAAGATTACTGCAGCTCCCCTATGGTAGAGAGTGATTTCACTGACAGAAGTTCAGTGTAATGAGTTGAGGTAGCATTTGATGTGGCATTTTGGATGGTAGGGAGGCAGATGTGTAGTTGGAGGGGAACTCACAGGTGTTTCTGATAGGCTCTGGTAAGGGTAAGTACCCCTACTAAAACAGCATCCTACAAAGCAGATGGGAGTAAAATGAGATTCTCAACAAGGAGCCCAGGTTGAAAAGACCATATTTTCATATAAGGTAATCAGAACCTGGTAGTGGAGGTGGGAATAAAATTATTCCCAGAGGCACTTCAAGAACCAAAAAGGACTTTGTGTCAGATTCAATGTGGAGGATGAAATTAAAAATAGTTAAAATAATTTAAAATGAAGAAATCGAAGATAATTAAACTTCCTATTCTGGGAAAGACGCTGGAAAAATAGAGTCTATTCTGGGAAAGAAGCTGGAAAAATGGAGTACACAGTTCATTCATAATACAAATAATAACTAATTTTGCAGTGCTATGAATTTGTTTTGGAGCTGAATGATGTTTGGAGCTTCCTAAGTCCTTATTTTCAGAAATAGGGCCCTAAAGTTTTAGTAGAGAGGAATTGCTTCCTCTTTTCCTGTATTCTTGAGACTGCCAGTCAGTTCTGTCAGTGATGATGAGATAAGCGTACATCGGGGAGCGGCTGTTTCCTCTGGGGAGAGTATATTGACTATAAACACCCTTTATGGCTCATAGAGAATGAATCAGTAGTACCATACGGACAACTTTTAGCTTTCCTCTCCCTGTATCTAGAATTATCCACAAGCTCTGGATTCTTACTCAGATTACTTGTGATCGATCCTGGGTACCCCATCCTAGAAATTGCTTTTGTTTTATGCCAAAGAGAAAATGACTAGTGACTCAGAATTTAGCATTGAGAACGCATCTGATCATCTTATCTTCCTGTAGTCCAAATTAACAAACTTTTAATTATCACTTGGTATGTGTCAGGCACTGTGGCAGACCTAGTGAATATAACTATAGCTAATGTGCAGTCCCTAGACACAGTTTCGGGTTTAGTAGCAGGATGGATTAGAAAGGAAGTAAATTGGAAGCTGATGGGATGAGAGATAGTCAATAGTGATAGAGACTGGATGAGACATATTGAAAGGGCCTGGCACTAGAAGATACGTCACATATCCTGCTCCTCTTTCCTTACTTAAATAC